ATGGAAAAAAATTGCAAAACGAAAAAAACGAAACTGAAAAATCCCACAGCAAAAAGTCGAGGAACAATCCCAGCGGTTTGCAAATCTCAGAAAAAGCGGAAAATTCCCAAAAAAAAAAACAAAACGCGTTAGCATACGTTTTTGTGTGCAGCAGCAGTAGCAGCGGGCCACTCCTCTTCCTTATTTAATAAACAAAAAATCGTCTTAAAAAGGGGAGTGGGTTTGGAAAACATAAACTATAGATAGTATATAGAGATTATAAGGACAAGGTTCAAAGTTCATTATTCTTAGCTTGGAGTCTCTGAAGCTGAACTCTATTAAAAAAACTTGAAAGGGGGTTTTTTTAGAGGAGAAATAAAAGCTTTCAGACGGAATTTATTAACAAACTTCACCTGAAAAGAGATTTTATTTAGGAGAAATCTAGCTCAAAAAAATTTTTTTAAAAGCTAGGATTTTTCAAACTAACTTTTTTTGATAAATTCACATTGAAAAAAATTTTTTTGGAGATTATAAGCTTGAAAAACCCTTTTTAAAGAGCTAGGATTATAAGAAAAAAGATCATAAACCATACCTTTTTCGAAAAAAAAACTTTAAATTAACTATAGAAAAAAGCCAAGTTTTGAAGCGAATTTAGCTTAAAAAAAAGAGGATTGTCTGAACTTTAAAAAAACCGAGCTTCAAAAGTAAAACCTTCAAAGTTCTCCTTTGACCTTAAGCCGAGTTGAAAATAAATAACTCGCTCATTTCACCATAAATCTCCGACTAACTCCGATTCTCCTTCCCTACTTTACAACCTTGACGAAAATAGGTAAAAACTACCTTCTTAAGCTCAGTTGACGAGTTAATACTGATTCAGATTTTCCATATTTTGAACATGAAAAGGAGAAAGACAAAAACAAAGGTGATCGTATTTCAGAAATTTGAATACGTTCAAAAACAGAAGCCAAAAATAGGAATTTATGCTTTAAAGAATTTTTTTATTTGGAAATAATCTAATAAAGTTTTAAGGTTTATGTAGGAGCAAGAATTGACAATTTATCGATAAGAGGATTTTCAAAATGTCTTTTGGAAGTAGATTTGAAAAAAATTGAGTATTTTCAGCATGAAATATTCGATTCTCTTGACTTCCAAAATTAATCTTGACTCCATTTGCATGGGTCTGAACTAGTTTTTACCTTACACTTCGGTAATTAAACCTAAGCTTCCATTTTTGTCACAACTATGAACTTTTTCTGCGTCAGACTTGGACGAGGCGCAAAGTCGTTTTGTACTGTTTTTCACTAGTTTTTAGTGAAAAAAAGCAAAAAAACAACCCCCCAAATATTAAAAAAATAGAACAATACCGCGTGAAAAGTAATTTGAAAAAAAACCGAATCCCAAAAGAGGCCAAGAATCGAAAACCTGCAAAAACGCCTCAAAATCGACTTTGACCCGTTTTTTTTTTTGCTTGAAAACAATGCTATGGAAAACACAAGGACTTTTAAAAAAATATTCCGATGAAAAGCAGTATCGTGTTTTTTTTTGACTGAAAAATCTCGCCAGGCTTTTTCTTTGCGCCTTATTCAGCTTGGAAAAAAAAATTTTTTTTTTCAAATTTTTTTTTTCAAAGTCTCTCATTCGAGTCTGTTTGGGAAGAGCTTTGAAAGTCTTTTTAAAAGAAAAATTCGCCTAAAAAAATCAATATTTTAAAAGGAAACTGTGCTTATTTTGGGTGAAAAGGTGAGGTTTTAAAGAAAAATGATTTTATGAAGTGACCATAGAAATTTTCCCTGAGTTTTTTGAAAAATTCCAGAATAAATCAGCAAGAACGAATATCGGATCTATGACCCCCAACAACAAAAAGTTCAAAGAAACAATGAAAAAGCTTAAAAACTGCTGAATCTTCTAAAAGGAACACTTCTGAGAGCAATGGAACGTGAACTGACGCCATTTTTGTCTGGCCGCCCTAGTCTTAAGAATTCTTTCCTTCTTTCCGTTTTTTTGTTTTCGTTTTTACCTTGTTTGAGAGCATTCATTGGGGTGCGGAAGCCTGGAAACGCTACTGAATCATAAAATCTGGGAAAAATCCTTGAAAAAAATTGGGAGCTCTGAGAAGCTGATGACGGATTGAATGACTCTTTGTGCGATTATCCGGATGTTATGGAAACTAGGAAAAATGTTTTCCTAGTTGATTTCTGTAGATTCAAGCTACCTAACTGTAGGGCTATATATTATAAATTAATTTACAAACGCAAAAAAATGTGAATTTCAAATTTTACTGAGCTTCGGTGGCTTCTAGTTTTTGTTTCATTATAGGAAGAAATCAAGAGATCAAAAAAATTCAAAAACTCTTTCTTTTTTTCAAATATCCAACGAATTCAAAAAAAGGCAAGGAGAAAAAAATTAAAAAAATCTCAAAAAAATTTCGTGTGTCTATAATTACGGCCCAGTGGGAAAAAAATTTTTTTTTCGAAAAATATTTCAGTTCTCATAATTATCTTGAATCACTATAAGTTCCACGTTATCACAAAAATCTTATCAATAAGTTTCAAAAATTGTAGAAAGGCGGGTCCATATTTATGACGCAGAGAAAAAAATTGTACGATTGAAAGATTCTTATTTAAAAAAATGCTAAAAAAATAGATTTTTTTAACTAATTAGATTTTTTTGTCAACAATGATACAGGACAGGAAGAAAAAAAGCTCTCGTTAATTTCGGAAATTTATTAAATTTTTTTCAAAAAAATTCTGCTCAAAGAGTTCATCTTTTTCCTGAGAGGTTTTTTTAAATCACTATCTGAAAGAGAGAATAATTAAGACGCAAAACAGGAAATTAAAACATGAAATATCTTCAAAAACTTCAAAACATAACTTTCAAAAAGCCTTCTTTCCAAGCAAAGTACGTAAAAACCGCCCGCCCGTAACTCTTTTTTTCGGTGCACCCCGCCCTCCTTCAGAATAAGAACTACCACTTTGCTCCCACACTGAAGATTTTATGAGCCGAATTTTTGATATTCTAAAAAACCAGCCAGATCAAAAACCGCCAATAAACAAGCCGAACTATGAAAATATGGGCCCGCGTCAAAAACGAAAAACAACAAAGAAAAAATTCATTAAAAAGACACACATCTTCGAAAAGATTAATATTTCATCAATTTTTTTGAATCTAGCCTTTTATTCAGCCACCTAACCACACAAAAGCCTTGCTTTACGCTTTAGTAAGCCGATTTTTTGTCTGAAATTTACGCTCCGTTTCATAAAACCCCACGAAACTTGTTTTTCAATGAGAATAAACACCAGGAAGTTTGGCATTTCGTGCAATTCACCTCCATTTATTGCACTTGAAAAAAATTTCGCCAGGATTGTAATACAAAGAAAGTCTATTCAAATTAGGTGTGAATTTCAAAAATCGACGATAAATATTTAAAAAAATGATCAAATGACAAGAACTTTTAAAAAAATAAGAAGTTTTTTTCCAGTTTTCGAGAAACGAGGAAAAAGAAATTTAGAAAAAAATTACTTACCAACAATTACGTTTTCTCGTCTTATCGGACATTCCTAAGGTAAAAAAACTTCTTTTTTTCGCTCTGAGCTACAGAAACCTTCCTGGAAGCTTCCCTTCGAATCGCGGGGCATGTGCATTTTGTTCAGTCTAAAAATTTTTGTTATATTAAAGAAGCACAGAAACACGCAAAAAAATAATGCTTCATGGCCATGAAGAACGTCTCGAAGAACTTTAAACACGGTACCGTTCTGTAAAAAGACAGAAAAATGAGAAGAAGAAATACATTTTATGAATGAAAATGAAAAAAATCTCGTGGAAAGTTCTTTGAAAAATACAAAATGAATGGCATTTTCGAGAGCTATTTTTTTATTCGATCAGTTTTTTTCTTTTCTCCATAAAAAAAGTTGAAGTAAAAAAATACTTTTTAAAAAAACGTTTTTTTAAACAAAAATTGAAATTAAGAGACCAACAATGCCACGGTGTTTCTTTTTGCGACGCCCCGCCCACTTTTCTCCGTCAATTAGGACGTGTTTAGTGCATGCACCGATACGTTTAGTGCATGCACCGATAAATAAGGTTAACCGATGATATAAGTGTGAGAAACGAATGAACATTGAAGAAAAAAGACGAGGAAATTAAAAGAGATTAAACAAAAACTATATTGCTGTGGAGAAACAAATAAAAAGATGTTTTACAGCAAGTACTTTTTTTATTATAAAAAGTTGACGGAATATCCGGATATAAATGAATTCCGGGAACATACTTTTCTCAACTTCACAGACTTTTTTTCATGTAACTTCATCTCATTGATGTCCACAACCTAGGAATCTGAACAATCGACAAAAAAATAGAATAAGAAAAACATAAAATGGGGTGAAACATGTTCCATACAAACAGGTGGAGATTTTCAAAACGCTTCTTCATCACGAGTTTTAAAGTTAGCCTCACAGAACTACTTTTTAAAAAAACGTCTAACAACCCAGAGTATACCCCCGATCGTGGTCCCGCAATACTATCAGCAATCTACGAAAAGAAAAAAAGTGAAAAAAATATGAAAAAAATTGACAAAAAAATCAAAAAAATAAAGCCACTTTTTCAAATTTCGCGGGCGAATTTCGAGAAGTGCGCAGACTTTGCCGAGTTTCAAATTCCTTGCATTTTCTTCAACTGGCAGAAACGCCGTGATGCGCTTAGAATTTCACGCGCATGGTGTAACACCATCCCTTGCGTAAAACAGTCGTACCGTAAGCATTTATTGCAATCCCTTTGATCTTTTTTTCTGCACCATGAATCGAATTCAATAATTCACACTTGCAAGCGTCTTTCGCACGGAGCTTCCGAATTCCAAGCGGCTTGAACCCTGCGTAGATTCCCGAAAAAAAAGAAAACTTCCTGGTAAAATATTCTCAAGCTTTTCACACACGTGATGGTGAGTTTTTTTTTTTCAAAAACAGCACGAGAAAATGACGAGTTCCTCATTGGGAAAGTCTTTGAAATTGAAAACAACTTTATTTGAGTTACAAACGCGATTTTCCGCGAATTTCTTCGACAAGTTTCGCGACTTCCAAAGCACAGCCCCAGTGTAAAGTGATTCCAGATCCGCCATGTCCGTAGTTGTGGATAACTTGTCTTTTCTGGCCGCTGGGGGTCTGGAAATCGGGATTTCACATGAAAAGAGGCAATTTGAGAAGCCTAAGAATCAAATAATCTTCAAAAAAGTTATTGGACGCAGCTGTTTTTCGCGAGTCGAGCAAATTAAGAGGATCACGATTTTTTGAAGAACAGCTGTCTTATTGGATTTGGAAGCCTTTGGAAAATGATAGAAAAAATTGGACCGTTTCAAAACAAGCTTCAAGTCGGACTTGTGGCCGGGCCGGTCTCAGACCAACGTGATGGGAGAGGATCGTGGATTTCTGAAGCAGTTTATTATGAAATAAGTCATTTTTCCTGTCTTGAGAAAGATTGGTCGCATGATGAATGACTCAAAGTTGCGCCCGACTAGAAGCTGCTTGCGCGAGTCCCTTCCAGCCTTCTAACGCTTATTTTCCGCCGAAAATCAGGGATTTTTCAGACTTTTCGGTCCCTCCATCAAAGGAACCCCTAGCTCATTTTTCGACGACTTTTTTCAGTTTGGAACTTCATTTTTCAAACCGCCGAGCCATTCCCCATGCGTCCAGCTGATCAACCAACCGATAAAGATTTGAAAACTCCGACGTTTCCTTCGAAGATTCTTCTGGCAGTTTCTTCATTCACCGTCGTGTCCCAATTATTGACGTCAGTTGTTCCACCGAGGATCACACAATCGCCACTGAAAAATTTTTGTTCTTGTGTACCTTATTTGAATCAGTCTGACCTGTCTGAACCCTCTCAATCTCTCACCGATGAGAGAGAGGAAGGCACAGAGAATTCAGACTTGCTTAAGCGGTGGCTTGAATATTTTCCAGACTTTCAAGTTTGAAAAGAGTTCTAAATGCCTTTCGAAAAATCAAAAAGGACTTTCTCGGACTTCAGTAACGCAAACCGGACGCGACCCGGACGTTTCTAAGCCTTTTTAGGGAACACGTAAGAGGGCTAACACCGCTAAAAGGATCCCTAGAGATGCTCAGAAACGTCTGGGAAAAACATTAGTGGTCCCTTAAGAGGTTCGCTAAAAGAGTGTTTCCAAAGGACGTGGCCACTACAGTCTTTCACAGTACCGAGGTCCCAGTGAGCAGCAAAAAAAAGAGCCTAGTTCGGTGGAGCAACCTTTCTAACACCTGATTATTACTAAAATCAAGAAAATCACTTGAGGAGGGCGTAAAAGTCGTCGTCGTTGAAGAAGTGCTTCACTTGAGGGCAACGAACTCGAATTATCTGTGAATATTTGATTTTTTCGAATTTTTCCTCTCAAACCTGTCCCCGAACCGGGTAGACAGTCGTATCATTAAAAAGCTTCCTCGAGCCCAGACCCGTACAATTCACGATGATTTCGAAATTCTGGCCAATATGGTCAAGGTTCTCAATATTTTCCTGTCGGATGATTCCTCCATTGGCTAAGAACCTTAAAAAAACAATTATTGTATTTTTATAATTTTTTTTAAAACTTCTTCTGGCAATAAGAAATGTAAGCGGTCGGCTCCAAGTACCAGGTAGTGTAGAAAAAACCGGTTCTAAAAAAACTTTTTTTCGCACAGATGGGTCACAAAAAACGGAGTTCAAAAATAGCCGCAAAAAAAATATATTTGCTGAATTTGCGCTCGATGGCTAAATTTTGAATTTTTTTTTTTTTGGTGTTTCTATGTCTCTCTGGCTGGCTTTTGTTCATCTCAAATGTTTCGAAGCATAAGAAATAACGCCTGTGAAAAAATAGCTCTACTACAGCAGTCTTTGTGCGCTCTACGGCAAATTGACTTTTTTTCATTTCGTCCCTTTTCACCACTTCTTTCTGCGACATGTTTTCATACCATCTCAAAAATCCTACTTGTAGCAAGATTTCCCGGTGACTTCTTCGATCTCCTCCGAGCTCATCACACGAAAATTCCGGACCACTCGACTCCAAAAAGGTATCGGTTCGACTTCACGCGAGAAGTGGTAGCCGGACATGAGCTTAATAAATCAAAAGTCCAGAAATAATTGAATAGGAACGGAGGATCATAAGAACAAAGGAAAAAGTCTATGAAATTAGGAAAAGTGTGAGAAAGAGACCTCGGCGCCAGTTCCTGGAAATTCTCTCATGAAAGTCTGAATTCGCGAGATGGTCGCTTTGGTCCAGCTTCTGCAAAAAGTAGACCTATTTGAAGGTGGAAATGGACTTTTGATTTGGGAAATTTAAAAAAAGTTTTTGTAGGGAGACAGTGAAATTTTTGAATAAGACTTAATTTTCCATATGCTCAACGTTCATTTTTCAACTTTGCCATAACTTACTGGGAACATTTTTAGTGGCCACTATTGGGTTTTGACGCTTCAGTGGTCACTACAGTAGTAAAATTAGTGGTCACTTAAGGGGTTAAAAATTAGGGCTACTGTAGAGGTTACTGCTACTAGATCGCTGAAAATTTTAGTGACCACTTTAGGGGTCAATGGATCAACATAACTGGTCCAGTCGGTTTGTTTTAAAATTATCAGTGTTACTGGAAGGAATACTGGATGAAAAACTACTGAAGTGGCCACTAAAACGGAAAATAGGGGCCACTATAGAGGTGGGTTCAGTGGCCACTTTAGTGTCCTATCCAAGTAGTCTTTGGCAAGCCTCTAGAGTGGCCACTAAAAATTTTCCCAGTGTGTCCCAGACCTTCTAGGCATTTTCTAATCAAATATTCTGAATATATTCGAAAAAAACCACATCTGTTTATATAATTCCATCTGAAAGTGTCTATTTCAGTTCACAAGTTTCCCTAGGAAGTTGAGAATGAATTTTTTTCAAAATTATTTTTTTTTTCTAGTTTCTGTCATAATCTTCAATATTTCAAAAGCTCAGAAACATCCTTATTGAAAAAAAAACCAACATAATTTTTTCCTCATCGTCCGAACAATAATACGGCTTGATGAGCCCGGCGGCCACATCCGACGTCAAATTCGGAGATAAATCTTTGGTTATGGCAGTGACCTTAAAAATTTTACAAAAGATATGCAAAAAAATTAAAAAATACCTTGACTTTTGGACAATTTTCCTGGATCGCCAACGCTGTTGAGATGCCAATGATCCCGGTGCCTAAAATGGCCACCTCTTGTGGCATTTTGGGGGGCAAAAAAAGTAGTCAATTTTCTTATCATGACATTGTCGCTAGCCATGATATCTTATCGGACGCTCCAAATAGTTCATTTTGCTATATTTTAATCTTAGTAATGAATTTTTTTGGGTTTTTAATGGTATTTATTTGATTTCAAGTTCCAAGCTTTAGTCAGCTTTTTGGCCTTTTTAAAAAAATTGCTTTGTTTTTTTAATTGACAGAAACTCTACTATTATGTTAATTTCGCTCTACTCTGAAAGCACAGGGCCGCACTCGGAATGGCTAGGCCGACAACCCGGCTGATCACGCATCCGACTTGAAACAGTTTGCGCGCCGACGCATCCAAAACCATCGTATCAATCGTTTATACTTTTTTTCGCTCTTGTTTTACGGTATCCTTTATTCATAAAAACTTGAATGAGAATGTGAATATATATATAATTGTTTTATATCGAAAAACAAAAAAAAAGGCCGAAAATCCGTGGATTTCTTCACTCGAAGTGGTAGCTCTCTCAATCGGCCGAGGCTACCCTAGAGTGTACACGGTGTCCGTGCCCGTACAGCCGAAACTGAGGGATTTGCTTGTGGAAGAACGAGGCGAAAGACCGTGAGACCATGCTTTCAAATCAATCGACTATACGTTTTGACTTCTTTTTCGCCAAAGGCGGTGTTAGTGCCGCTCAAAAGAGCAATTTTTTCACCGCCTAGTCGATTCGATCTGACTAAAACAACCAATAAATATTGATTGATTGACTGATGAACTTAGGGTTAATAACAAAAATATGCGTGAACGTATTTTGCCATTTCGACGCCCAACAATCGTCTCATTCGGCGCTCAAACCTCGGTGGGTCTATAATACTCATTTAGTTGAAAAAAAAGAAAGAGAGCTGAATTATGGGTGGTATGAAAAAAACACCAGCGAAAATTCAAACGGCGACTTTTCCGATTTTTTCATATCGCTAGGGAACTTTCCGACGGCCACCTTTCCGACGAAATTTTTTCCGACTTTTTTCCCTTATATTTTTCGGTTTATAAGACGTCTATTTACATTTTTTTTTCCCTATTTCTTGTGTTTTAATCATGAAACAACTACCTACTTCATATAGGAAGATTTAAAACGAAGATTTTATCGAGAAAAAAAGTCGGAAAAAGATTCATCGGAAAGGTGGCCGTCGGAAAGTTCCCTAGCGATTTGAAAAAATCGGAAAAGTCGCCGTTTGAATTTTCGCTGGTGTTCTTTTTATACCACCAAATTATGGATATCTTGTTCGTTTAAAAACAGTCCGAATGGTCCAGCTTTGAAGTTTCATTGTTAATTTTCTGCTTTTAAGAGATTTTTTTTGTCAATTATATTTCAAATTTTTATTTGCCCGTCTTATTCTTATGACCCCTATAGGGGTTTTAGCTAGTGACCACTCTAGGGGAGCATGGTGGTCGTTTAATATTATGAAAAACTATGAGAAGAGGCCTCCTTTCCATACGAAAAAAATTTTTATAAATCGGCGTTTTTTTGCTTGAAAAAAATTTTTAAGAGATTATTAATCTAATGAAATTTCTCGAGAGGGTCTTTTCAAATTCCAATCTGAACTAGAAAGACCCCTATAGAGACCACTCTAGCTAAAGTGGGGCAGATCCTAAACCCTATTAAGGCCATCTACGTTCAACCCCTCTAGGGAGCACTGTTTGGTTTTCTACAGAGCCTATATTTTCCCTAACCACTCTAGGGACCACTCTGAGTGAGAATAATATTCGGTCAATGTGCCCGAGTCCCGATTTTTAGTCGCCAACATTCGAAGATGATCAATTTGTTCGTAATCTTGATGCACGTGATGACCGCGATGTTCCTGGCGACCACGGCGATTTGCTGCCATAAAAAATCGGTTTTTTTTTGGGATCATGATAATTTAGCGCTATTTCGTGCAGGACGAAGCCGGGAAACTGAAACCACGGGATCTTTCCAGCGCCGCCGCCAAACAATCGACGGCCGAGCCCAAGGAACCCGGAAAGGAGGGCGAAAAAACCGGCGGCACAGCTAGCAAGAGTGTCGCTGCACCGGTTTCCAAAGGTAATTTTAAAAAATCTATGGAAGGGGATAAAAATTGAAGAGTATAGTTGATTCACGGCTGACTTGAGCCATCGAAAAATGGGTCCTCACACGATAAAAAGGAGACAGTGCCTGGTTGGTGGAGAGCGCAGATAGGCCACACCCCCTCAACGTCCCAAGGGGGTTATAGCTCTCACCCTTCCGAAAAATGGTCCATTTTGAGACTTTAATGTCCCCTTTTCCGAAAATTTGTTAAATCATCATTTTTCACCTCAAAAAAGGACCTATCCATCAGGAACCCATGAAAATGAGCCCAAAAAGTCTCTGACTGGACTTTTTTCGTATAGACTTTGCTTTTTGGGGGTGATTCAAAACCAACTTTGAATCAATAAAAAATAAAAGCTGACCCGACGAAAAAAACTGGAAAAAATGATTAGGCGAGAGATCAACGCCGGCCTGAAGAGACGCTAGAGAAAGAAAGTTTCGCTGACTTCTCTGGCCTCTCTTCAGCCGCCAGTACTCTCTCTTTTGGGCTTTTTCGACTTCTAAGAGCATTTCCCGAAAAAAATGCCCCTTAATATTCTTATGTCTTCGCCAGAGAAAGAAAATTTCGCTGACTTCTCTGGTCTCTCTTCAGTCTGCCAGTACTCTCTTGGGCATTTTTAGAGAATTTATGAGAAAACCTGTCTCTGAAAACTGTGTTTTTCTACTAAACTAAAAATTTTGTAAATTTTTAAAAGAAAAGTTTGAAGTTGTTGACCTTCTGTGAAAAAAAAGAGGAATTTATGAATCCCAGGACCTGCTCCGATGCCCCAACGCGAAGCCGACGACAACGAGACGATCAACGACGCAAAATCGGATTGGGGCGCTGTTCCTCAGTGACTTCCCAAGACCCTTACTCATTCAAATGAACGAATACCACGGATTTTGATACAGTTTTCTATACGATTTCTTCGAGGAGTATTTTTCAAGTGATTCCACGAACTTTGACAAAAATTTTAATTAACAGACCAAGAAAGAGAACCGGTATACAAGTTTTGGGAGAAAATATAAGGGAATACAGGGAGAGATGCTTCAATATTTGATATGTGCAGTAAGGATGGAAAATATGAGAGTCCGTTACAAATAGTGCGGAATAAGTCGGACGCCAGGAAGAGCCGCGGACAGTTCTTTTGTCTGTTCGACCAACGGCGTTTCGCAGTAGAGCAGCCTTTCCAGGGAAGACATAGCCTTCAAAAAGGTAATTTTTTTCGTAGCAGAGTGCATCTCAAACAGAGTTTTCGTTAAATCGCAAACCGCTACTCCCTGACGTCATTTCATGACATCATTCGTAACACAAGAAATAAGCGTAATTGAAATATTTGGCTATATATTCATTTTATTCACGTGAACATGATTCAGTAGATTATTATTATCTCATTTCAACACGTCGACTGGTCGGTCTCTTTGCCGCTCTCTCATGGGATAATATTCCGACGCCCGTCAGCCCTGGACAAGCTGGGCGCCGTACTGTTCCAACATGGTGAAGCAGTTTATTCGCTGGTACTACTAACGGGCCAAAATTATTTCCCAACGCTAGCTGTCACTCCGGGACGTATTGGACAACAATTGTGGACCGTAACCCGCGCCGACGACTAACTCTTCCATTATACCATGATTCAGCAGAGATTTTCTTCATCTTACTCTGAAGACTGAATGAATTGAATTGAAATTGAAATTGAAAAAAAATTGAAGAATGGGAAGGGCCTGAATTGCGCCTTTGCATTAAAACTGCACCTACATGTTCATGCATTACTTAAGAAAATAGGCTTAGTTTTAAGGCTTCACACGGAGGCGGAGCGCGCATAGCGCGAAGCCGACTGTGGCTCGCTTCGAAAAAAACTGAGCCACAGTGAAAAAATTCGTCAAATAAATGAATACTTGACATAGAAGGCATTTAGTTTCTAACCGTGGACACTAATAACACTATCAGGTAGCTCTAAACGATTTGCAAACTTGATACGCGTAGCGAAAAAATCTGTGAAATGTATTTCCCAAAAAAAAGAAAAAAATTTAAAGGAGCACACTGTGCGTAAGCGTGGGCCAAGGAATATTCCAAACATTCAAAAGGTTTCTAAAAAAAATAAGAAAATAGAAGAATAAAAAAAAAGTTTCCAATCAAAAGCGGATTTTCAAGTGTGATATCTTTCTGCTTCTCATGTGACCGGAAAAGTTTTCACGTCGAATCTAATTTATAAATTGGAACGTAAAAAATGAATAAAATGATATGGCTGCGTGTGCGAATTTTGTAAATGAAGATGATGTCATAGGGATGACGTCAGGGAGTAGCGGTTTGCGATTTAACGCGAAGTCTCAAACAGCCTAGTATCTTACAGAAGGCGCCGTAAATAAAACGAAAAAGGAAAAATTCTGAACTACTTAGTGGACACTCAAGTGATGCTAGACCCTCTTAAGCAATCACTTGAACAACCTAGACAACCTTCCAGAAGATACCGGAAGGGAGATCAAAAAAAAGGCTCAAGTCATCGTTCGCCTCTCTTTAGTCACTTGAACAAACTTCTACCGTCCATCAAGCGCCATCAATCTTCAAAAAGTTACCTGCAAGCACGGGATCAGATCGTTGAGCTGTGAGATTTCCGTGGCGGCAAGGGAGAGGAATTTCAAGTTTCCGAGGGAAGCTGATGGTAGAAGCCTAGAAGCCCATTTGTAAAAATATATATACGGGCTAACTAAGGAACATCAGAGTTGTCATTAGAAAGGCAACTTTAAGGGCAAGTTCCCATCTGGGGACCACCTTACCTTCCGTTATAGGGGCACTAACGCTTCATAAAGTGACCACTCTAGGGGTTTTAGTGAGTGGCCACTCTAGGGGCTCTTAACCTCATTTTATCTTTCAAATCTTAACAAAAACTCTAAATATTCATATAGGGACCACTCAAGCTTTTTGGGCTCAGGGGTCCAACCTAAACTCTCTAGGGAGCCCTATCATGTTCCCTAAAGGGCTGTTTTTTCCGTTAACCCCTCTAGGGACCACTTTGGTGTTCCTAGAAAGTTCTCCGTTTCAAACCTTCTTATTGGATTCTCGTTGAGAGTCAGGTGTTCCAAATTGGGGAGGACGATTTCTTCGGGCTTTGTCAGCCGATTTCCGGTCACGTCAAGGTCATTTACCAAGCCGGCCAAGTACTCGACGCCTTCTAGGCTGAAAAATAAGATTTTAACACACGTTCTCCGAGATTTTCGATTAACCGTTGGTACAAAAATTTCAACTTTGTTCCTGAGAGCTCTTCTTGCTATCATAGATAGTGAACAACCTCTTGAATATTTAGAACCAGGTTTTATTAGGCTCCGCCCACTTTCAGGCTTACTGTATAAAAAACACCGTAAAAACCAAACTTTTTTCCTAGTGGATCAAATTGGTCCAAACAAATTTTTAAAAACAAAAATATGTTCTCATTTGAACATTTATAGTTATAGAACTGACCCGGGAAAATTTTCTTCCAGAAGAAAAAAATTAAAGTTTTTTGAAAAATGACGATTTTCGCAGTCTTTGAGTCATAACTAGTACTAGAACCCCCGAATGCCTGGATTTTTATTTTTTCAATCGACGCATTAGGGTCTTGTGAGTAGAGGAAAAAAATGTCTAGAAACTCTGAATCCGGGTGATCCAGTTGACCTCCATCTCGGAGAACGCGGCCAACTTGAAAAATGGCTAAATTTTTTTAAAAAAATCAGTTACTTTCTTGGGAGCAGGGATTTTTCCCTAACATCTTTTTGCCAATCAGACACAATCCACTCAACACAAAATTGGAACAAAAAAGTTATGGCTCTCAAGCATGAGGAAATCCAATTTTTTTCACTTTTTCGGATTCATTGTTTTTCTTTCCTTTCCAAGTATTCAGCTCTAGGGGATTAGGATACCTGGAATGTTTAGAGTTTTTTCGTTGTACTGATCCGTGTAAATGAACAATTAGTAAAAATTTTTTAGACGCAGATATCTTATTGTATTGAAATAACTTACCAGGGAACGTTTTTTACCCCCCGGTTGAACTTTTGCTGAAACTTTACTGAAGTGTACTTTAGGACCCCCTGATTGCAGATCAAGAAAAATTCTCGCAATAGATCTTGTTTCCGAGTTATAGAGCTTCGAAGTCCTCGAAATACGCAAATTATGACGAAAAAGCGCTATTTCGGGTTTTTGAAGTGTCATAACTGGAAAACGGGATATATTGCGAGAAATTTTCTTTTTGTTCTGCAATTGGGAAAGTCCTAAAGTACAGTTCAGCAAAGTTTCAGCAAAAAGTTCAAGAGGGGTGGGTTTTTAATTTTGATTTTTTTCGGTTGAAATATTTTTCTTTTTTTCTGTATGAGAAAAATTTGTTCAACCTCGAAAATAGGAAAACTTGAACAATTTTTCCGTGCAAAATACAAAAAAAATGATTCATCTTGAAAAACTCAAAAAAAAAGTCAAACAATTGGTATCGACAAACAAGATTCTTACTTTTCACAAAATAGTATTCACTATTTTTCGTAAGTAGTGGCTTTACGTAAGTTAGAACTTTTTTTAGGCGAAATACCAGGGAATTCCAGATTATTCGACAGACACGGGTATTGCTGGGGCTGCGTCCCGTCGAAAATTTTAAAAAATTCTGACAAAAATAAAAATGAGCTAAAAATAAAAATTGACGCTAGCAATTAGTGGAAACTACACTGAAAACCCTCCAGATGATGAGAACTACTGGTCAGGAAGCAAAAAAACGGTTTGGAAAATTTTTTTTATTTCGCTCGACTTCGAGGCCGACCGCTTCGGCTGCTTGGAGGTCAACTGGATCACCCGGAAACAGAGCTTGGGAATATTTTTAAAGAACTTGGGAAGATGTAACGGATCAGTACAACGAAAAAACTCTAAACATTCCAGGTATCCTAATCCCCTAGAGCTGAATACTTGGAAAGGAAAGAAAAAAACAATGAATCCGAAAAAGTGAAAAATTGGAAAAAAAAAATTTCCTCATGCTTGAGAGCCATAACTTTTTGTTCCAATTTTGTGTTGAGTGGATTGTGTCTGATTGGCAAAAAGATGTTAGGGAAAATCCCGCTCCCAAGAAAGTAACTGATTTTTAAAAATTTAGCCATTTTCAAGTTGGCCGCGTTCTCCGAGATGGAGGTCAACTGGATCACCCGGATTCAGAGTTTCTAGACACCTTTTCTCTACTCACAAGACCCTAATGCGTCGATTGAAAAAATAAAAATCCAGGCATTCGGGGGTTCTAATACTAGTTAGAGCGAAAAGTTTAAAAATGCCGAAAAAACGAAAAATTAGAAAAACGTCAGAAATTTTTTTTCAAAGGGCTCCAGCTTGCTACTTTTGAGCTGTACTTTTGCAGCGAGCTGTGTTATGTTGAACAAGAATAAGAACCAAGACGGAACCCGGCTTTCACAAAAAATAGAAATTTTCAAAGGTTTTGCGATTTTCAAGTTGGATGCGTTCTCCGACATGGAGGTCAACTGGATCACCCGGATTCAGAGTTTCTAGACATTTTTCCTCTACTCACAAGACCCTAATGCGTCGATTGAAAAAATAAAAATCCAGGCATTCTGGGGTTCTAGTACTAGTTATGACTCAAAGACTGCGAAAATCGTCATTTTTCAAAAAACTTTAATTTTTTTCTTCTGGAAGAAAATTTTTCCCGGGTCAGTTCTATAACTATAAATGTTCAAATGAGAACATATTTTGTTTTAAAATTTGTTTGGACCAATTTGATCCACTAGGAAAAAAGTTTGGTTTTTACGGTGTTTTTTATACAGTAAGCCTGAAAGTGGGCGGAGCCTAATAAAACCTGGTTCTAAATATTCAAGAGGTTGTTCACTATCTATGATAGCAAGAAGAGCTCTCAGGAACAAAGTTGAAATTTTTGTACCAAAATTTTTTGCATTTGTTTGATTTTCTGGGAGAACGCGTGTTAAGGGCTTATAACGCAAGATTTGAGTAGGATCTTAGCAAAACAGTGAGCGAAAATAAAAGGTTTGATCTTCTAAATTAGAAGTTCTAATCCTAAATTTCGTCGGCGGTGAATGGAATATATTAGGTTAGGGTAGATATAGTCCATTCGCCACGACTTGAACATTTCTGAGTGTCTGCGTCTCTCTGTTCCCTCACCGCGAGGTCATAGAAATATGAAAATAGCACGTAAATATAAGAGGGTCGCCGTAAGACGAGGAGGGCGCCGAGAAGCCCGGCCCATTTCAATTTTGAAAAAAAAAAGACCTTGAAATTTCCTTGTACCGCAGGGGCAACTGTTGGGTTTCACCGCTCATCAATTTTTCCAAAAGTCCGTCCGTTCGAAGAGTTTCATTCAGCTGTTGCCTTGAGGCTAGAGCTTCGTACATCTGTAAATCCCCTCAGATGTGAAAATTAATGAAATCTTGTTTTATAGCAGATTCACGGCTAACTTGGGACGCTGAGGGGGCGTGGCGTGTCTGCGCGCTCCACCAACCAGACACTGTCTCTTTTATTATCGTGTCAGGACCCTTTCTTTGATGGCTCAAGCCAGCCGTGAAACAGCTATAAAAAGAGTCGAGGATGATTATTTATTATTGAAAATGCTTTCAAACTGTTTCGAGAAAGGCGCTCATTTTGAGCAGATTTTAGAATTATATATTCTATTCCATACATTTCTAGTCTCACTACGTCACAGGAATTATCCTTTGCCTTCTAGAAAGTTCCCCACTCTTCTGAGTTTTTTCTCAATCTTTCTAGGAGTTTCAGAACGTTCTACTGCTTCGAGAAAAAGGTCCTGACGCGATGATAAAAGAGACAGTGTGGTTCATGGAGAGCGCAGACAGGCCACGCCCCCTTAGCATATCAAGCTAGCCGGGAATCGACTTTACCCGTTCCGCCTTTCAAGTCGGGAAGGATTTACTATAGACCATTATTAAGTTATAAATTACCGAAACGCAAACAACCAATAAAAGTTTGAAGCCGCGTGTTTTGATTTCATACTGTAACGTATTTTATACTGGGAAGGAGGCTCATTTCATTTCAGCGGTTTTCTCGGAAGCAAATTATCCTCATTTATTGGTATGAAAAATCCGAGATATTTTTAACTGTTTGAGCATGACGGTTATAATAAGCTGATTCTGGGATTTTCTATAATGTTCTATAAAATTGGAGTTATGTCATAGAGGTCCTGTGTAAAGGTTTCCCGTCTAGAAATTTCCACACTCTTCTCCTTCATTCTCTACCTTTTTAGGATGGTAGGACGGAACATTTGATCCGCAAAAACACGTCGCTTGAAAATTGCGACCACATAACCTGGGAGCCACTAAAATTAGAAGGCTTTAAAATTCTGTATTTTCTGTTTTTCTTCGTTCTGGTCTTCTTCAAACTTTTGCTCTAGTACTGATTCTCATTTCTGCGTTGAGTTATCCCGGCGATCCCAGAATTTGATAACGTTTTGAAACCTAATTTCAAGTTTTAACTCTTTTTCTTTTGTTTTCCCAATTAATTTGTGCTATAAATCATTAAAGTTCAAAATCTGCCAACTAAATATGTTTTTCCATGTTTCTAACACAAAATGACAGACTTCTTACTGATGATAATGATTAAAATCTCTAGAAACCTACTGAAAACAGTGACTCTAGCTCTGGAATGAATCAATATTAAGAATAAAGAAAAAATGTGAAAAAAAAGAAAAGAAAAAAATTCAAAAAGTCATCATCTGAACAATTTTTAAATTTTATGAAAAAATTTTGAAGGTTTGCAATTTTAGTGGCTCCGAGGTTATGTGATCGTAATTTTCACGCTACGTATTTTTGCGGATCAAATTTTCCGTCCTACCATCCTTTCTAGAAGGTTCGAGATTGTTCTCGAATATTCTATTGCTTTAGGGACGAATATTTAAAACTCTGGAATGTTCCATCTTTTGTAATCGAATCTCAATATCTTCATTGATTCGTCACGGGTCGATGATCTGCCTTTTTCGCCCGATTGCTCTAATTCCTGTCTTACTCCGGGTCAGAGTCTATCTTTACTGGTTATTTTATTGCGATTCTACCTACTTACTTTTTTGCAGTGAATGAACCTATCATTATTATTATTATTATTAAAAACTAACTTCACCTTTATTCTGGAAAAATTCCATAATCTTCCGGATATCTTCCCTCAGCCCTATATAACACATTGTTCGTTATTGAAAAGGGTCTAGTTTCGTGCCACTTTTGAATCTTCTACTACAAGGTCTTCACTGGCCACCGGGCCCAACACAAACCTTCCTCCTCTTGACGTCAAGTTCATCGCCCAACTTCTTCAAGCCGTCCATGATTTCGCCATGTGCTTCCGCGGATTTGTATTCCATTAAGCACAGGGTCTTCATGTACAAGGGCCACTGGAAAAATTCAAAATTTGGGACTGAATTCCTGGAAAAAGGCCTTCGTGATGGAGCTCAGCATACAGCTCAACATAGAAGCATGCGGAGAAGCTATAGTCCGTTCAGATTTTGAATGTCAAGTAGAATGACGTCATTCGAAAACGCTCGCTCTCTGATTGGTTTATCGCATCATTAGGGGGCGGAGCTTCAGCGAGGACTTGACATTTAAAATGTGAACAGACTATATTGTTGGAAAACGATTTTCAGCCTGCAAATTTTGAGCCTAATCTATGAAATCTAGCTGTCTTATGGGATTCGTTTCGAAAGCCCCACTTGAAAAATTTCAAATAAAAAAATTCCGACTTCTGCAAAAAAAATATGATTGCTCCTGCGATTTTTGAATACCTTATTTTCCGGTTCCAGCTCGATCAAACTCTGGCAATCGGCCAACAATTCCTCGACAGCTTTGTTCGATTCCACCGGGTCGACGTCGTAAATTCGCCTTAGGAGCGTCTGATTTTCAATATTTTAGTTGATTGATTCACTACACAGTTACCTTGTCAACATAGGGCTTCTCCTTGATTTCAACCCAAGGACCGCCAGAAAAAGCCTCGTCGTGCTCTACGGCGATCCGCAAAGGAGAATCGGAGAGATATTGCCAAACTCGAGACGTTTTGGGGTGGCTTGAGAGGGCGGAGAACTGGAATTGTCAATTTTCGACTTCTAAGCTTTCAAAAAATACAAGAATTGATAATTTAATGAAATTTGTCGGAGTCCCATAATGAGCCTTATAACGATAATGAAGAAAAGCGTTTTTTCTCGGTTAAAATGATAAAACAATAATTTGGGAGCGTTCAAAAATTTTTTCTTTTTCATTTTTATTTCCGATAAATTTTTTTTTTGAAACTTAAAACTTGGTTGAGACCTAGGGACCGCAGACGAATTTTCAAAAAAAATTTTTCAGCATTGAGCTTTGTATGGTTTGATAGCTGTTTCGATTCAAAAACTCAGAACCGTTTAGTTTTTTTCGAAAAAAAGATTGAGGATGAAAAAAAGTTATGACGAAAAAAATATGGCGCGCCGCGCACCATTTTTAGTATTGAAATTTTGGTATTATTCATTTTTTTGACATTTTTTTCTCGATTTTTTTCTTCTAGAACAAGTTTTTGATACTGGTCTATAATGATGTAACAAATCATAATAGAGTGTTAAAATGATAAAAGTGTGCTAGTTTGCCGAAAAAGTCGGTATTTTCCAGAAAACAAAAAAACTGATGCTTGCGGGCATTGAACTCGCGACCTCAAAATGAAAGTTCGCAGCGCACGCGCTGCGCCAAGCAGTCAGGTCTAGCAAGGGGAGCCTCCATCCGCCATACCCTTGAGCTGTTTGAGTAGCACAGATTGCCTATTTCAAAAAAATAAAAAAACTTGAAGTAATTCAGCTATTTTTGATCAGAATATGTTCGCAAATCTTCACTCAAACTTTCCGTGAAAAATTCACTTCGAAAAAAACTGTTTTTTTAGTGCTTTTTCCTCGTTTAACGATCGCTGCCTTAAAAACAGCCCCGTTAATTTTTGGCAAAGACGAATTTTTTTATTTTATTCTTTTTAATTGAAAGATCTTTCACTAATAAATGTATATAATCGTTTAAAAAAACCTGCGTTCGATCGCTTTCTGTGTGATAAAAGCCGCTAATTTTATTATCTAGTTTCAAGAGCATTTTTGTGTATTAAACAACTTTTTCAAGCGCAGATGCTGTGGAGAAAAAAATTTAAGTAAGCCCATGATCTAAATTTTTGAAAAAAACAAATACTCGATTATCTTCGCTTATTAACGATATTTTGAATTATGACTTTCGGCACTCCCTAAAAATGTTTGGCAAAGACGAATTTTTTTATTTTTATTGTTTTAAAATTACCGTTACTTGAATCAAAAATCATTATATAAAAAAAGAAAGAGTGCGTTCGACCTGAAAAACACATGAAAAAAAGCAAAAAAATGACAAAAAAATTTTTTTAGTTCCATTCACGTTTTTGTACGACATTCCGCGAGAACGCATCAAAAAAGCGAGAAATATTTTTTAAGCGGAAGAGGAAGCTTTTCTGTACATGTGTGTCAAATTTTATTAGCCAGTTCCACATATTTTGCAACTACAACAAAATGAAAGTTGAAAACCAAAAAAAAGCCACTTTTTCTATCGCGAAAGGGGGCGTGGCTTTGCGGTCCCTATTGAGACCTCTTTTGGAGCATTCATAACAAATTAAAACCATTTTCTCCACTAAAGTGGTACCTTACAAACAATGATAAATCAAAAACCAACTGTATGGGGCAAAAACATTGTCGATTGCAGTCAAAGTAGTTCAAAAATGTTTAAAAAATGCAAAATAGTTGAAAAAAGCATTTTTTTAAGAGCTTTTTGGCTAATTTGAAGCATTCATAACTAAAGTGATACCTTCCATAGTTTGAAACGTTAAAAACCAATATTATGGGGCAAAAACATTGTCGATTGCAGTCAAAGCACTTCAAAATGTTGAAAAAAAGTTCAGAACAGTTGAAAAAGCTTCTTTGACTGCCTAAAAGAGTGAAAAACCTCTTCCTCTCACATTTATTTCAAGAAAAGCCAATTTTAAGGGCGAATTTGCCTAAGTTTAAGCATCCATAACAGAAGAAAACTGTGTTTCTCCACTAAAATGATAACTTACAAACAATGAGAAATGAAAAATCAACTTTATGGAACACAAATATTGTGGGTTGCATTCAAAGCACTTCAAAAATGTTTAAAAATGCAGAATAGTTGAAAAATTCTCCTTTGACCGCCTAAAATGGTGAAAAACCTCTTCCTCTCACATTTATTTCAAGAAAAGCCAATTTTAAGGGCGAATTTGCCTAAGTTTAAGCATCCCTAACAGAAGAAAACCGTTTTTCTCCACTAAAATGATAACTTACAAAGATCGAGAAATTAAAAATTGACTGGAAGTGCAAAAAATTGTGGGTCGCAGTAAGGAAACTTCAAAAAAAGTCGAATAAATGCAAAAAAGATGAAAAATTCCTCGATTACCAAAAAATGGTACAAATATCTATTTACTTCCTTTTTTCTCAAGAAAGAGGCTTTTTTCTGAAAAATTCTTCTTTTTTTCTGTTAGAGGAAGCAACAAGAACATCCTATTAAAACTAAGGTCACTTTTCGGTTTTGTAAAAGATTTTTAGGCCTTTTCAAGTGCAATTGGAGATAACAATTCGACTGTGTAAATTTTAAAAAAAATCTGACAGTATAAACCAAAAAAATGGTCCCCACCCCGCGCCACCGGGATTTCTCCTCGGAATCGACGAAAACAACGACATTTTCGACGCTACAGGCTCTGGACATGACGATCGTGGTGTTGTTTCCGTGGAACGAGGCGCTGAGAGGAACGATCGGAGCGTAGGAATCGGGTCTCACTGAAAAAACGAGGACTTGGAAAGATATGAAATATTGAATGACTAGAAAAATATTTATCCCCGAAAACTGATTTCGTGGAAAGGTACCACTAAATGGAAGTCGTACGGCTACAACAAAAAATTCCAGATTTCTTGAGAAATTCGTAATTCGGGCTGAACTAAAAAAATGTCTTCCAAAAACTGATCTTGTGAAAAGGTATCAGTGAATAGAACTAATGACCCCGAAAAAGGTGTTTTTAGAAATCTTACTGAAAAAAAAAAAATCTTAAAAAAACTTCTAACAATATGAATCACTAAATTTTGTTTTCGTGGAAACGTATAGCCTATTCACGGCCAGTTTGGGACGAAAAAAAGAAGTGAACTGTCTGCGCTCTCCACCAACCAGACACTGTCTCTTTTCTTATCGTGCCAGGACCTTTTTTCGATGGATCAAGTCAGCCGTGAATCAGCAAATGAAAATCATATGATCACAGAAATGAGAGCCGTGTTCAAAGTTCCGGAAAATTCAAAATTCGGGCTTCACTAAAAAAAACTTTCTTCCAAAAATTTGAATCTGTGAAAAGGTATCAGCAAATGGTAATATAATGACCCAAAAGTGTTTTTAGGGAGTAAAAATCGCCCGAAAGCCCTTAATTTTGAAACATTACTTTCTTTAACTTCCCACTCTTTTCAGGACGAGAATTTTATATGATAAAAAATCGAAAATCGGATAAAAAAACAAAGGAAAAAGCATATAACGCTTACAAATGCCTTTTTTTCCCATTATTAAAATTTTTTTATTACCTTATTTGATTGAAATAAAGCACTTGTCTTTGAATCTCATGGTGAAATTTTCATTACTAACTTCAGAAAAATTGTAAAGAATCGCTGTAAATGGAGTTTATCAAATGTCTATTTCATCAAAAAAATGGAGAGCCAATTAGAAAAAAATGGAAAAATCAATATAAATTACTGTAGAAATTGAAAAATTCTTTTTTTTGGGTCGATGTAAAACACTTCAATTCCCTTCACTTTGAAACCAGTCTGAAACTCTCAGAAGTTGACTTCAAACTTTAAAAAAACTTCTTTCTTAAAACGAAATTCTAAAAATTTGTACATTTCAAAGCCTTCTGAAACTCACAAAAACTCTTTCCCGGAGCCAACATCCAGAAGCCACCTCGTATAGGTCCAGGTGCTCTGATCATCTGTATCCATATAAGCGGCCGAAATTACTTTCTGAACATTTTTTAATTCTTGTTATTTCAGACCTTTAATTCCGCAGCAATCGTCTCATTATCCAGCCGATATTGCCCCGTTTTCTCCATGTGAACTTTTTGGATCAGTACGGATCTGAGTTAAAAATTTTTCTTAAAATCCGGATTCATGAGAAAAAATTTAAAAAGAGCTATTAGCATCTTTTTCATGGCCTTTTGGGGGAAAAATCGCTTTGAATGTGAGGAAAATCTTCAGTGGCCAATGTAGGGTTTCGACGTTTTAGTAGCCACTGTAGGGGTCTAATTAGTGTCCACTTATATGAATAAAATTTATTGGCCTCTTTAGGAGGGCAAGTGATGCCACTAGATAAATAAAACTACTATAGTGGCCACTAAGACGCAAAATAGTGGCCACTTTAGTGTCCTCTCCAGAAAGCCCTTGAGGAGCCACTTGAGTGGCAATTTTCCTCAGATGAAATTATAAAGTGTAGAAAACTGATAGAGTTCAAAAAAAAGGTTTGAAAGCTGAAAAAATCCTTTTTTTTAAAGCTTGCCAAGGTAATGTGAAAGAACTTTTTTTTCAGTGGCCTTCAGTTTCAGTGGCCACTATAGTAGTCGAATTAGTGACCAGTTAGGCGAAAAAAATTTAGGAGTGCGAGTGATCCTACTAGATAACTAAAAGTACTATAGTGGCCACTAAGACGCAAAATAGTGGCCGCTTAAGTGTCTTCTACAAGTAGCCCTTGAGGAGTCACTTAAGTGGCCACTAGAATTTTTCTCAGATCAAATTATGAAGGGTAGAAAGTTCAAAACGGTTTCGAAGCCGAAAAAAAACGTGTTTTTAAAAGCTTTCTAAGGAAATTTCAGAGAATTTCTTTGGGCTTTTTTCTACTTAAAAAAAGAAACCTATAATGCCAAGCCGAGTAATTTGAAAAATTGTCGCTGACCAGTTGATTCGAGTACCTGAAAACCATATTTTTAGACAAAAATTAAAAGTTTCTATAGAAAATTACTCAATCTCCTCGTCGGCCGTCCGTTGAGCCATTCGAGCGACGATTCTCCGATGGTCCCAGACATGGAAATTTCTAAAAAAATTACAATTTTTAAAAAATTCTTATAGGGAAAAACTAGCCGGCAATCAAGTTTCAGGGCTTTTTCGCAAAGGGCCAATTCCTGCTTCAAATCCGGTTCCGACTGCCTTTCGAGCACCCAATTTCGTTGGAACCAACAGGAATACGATTTTTGGGTTGTTCTAAATTACATTTTTTTAATTTTTGAAAAAAATTTATAATACTTTAACAAAACTGCAAGTTGACAAAAAGGGGTGATAACAAAACAAAATGCACTTTTTTTGCTGGAAAAAGCCCGATTAGCAATATAAAAAATTAATTTAAAGGTTAAAAAAAGTTCTAGTGATCTTAACTCGGAAAAATAAGAAAAAAACGAGCTTAAAAAGCTTCTTGCAAATTTTTCTTCAAAAATTCATCTTTTTCTTCTCAAGTTCTTCAAAAGGCTGTTGTATGAAACTCACAAAAAATACTTCACCATAAAAATGAAATTTTTTTAACTTTAATAATAAAGTTCTCCAATAATGCCCTTCAAAAACTGGATTTTTTTAATAAAAAGCTTTGGAAAAATATTTTTTTGAAATAACACAATTCATAAAAGGTAAAATAACCACCTTGATACACTCATAGGACATGAAAAGCTCTCCAGCCAATAAACTTTCAATGGAACGTTGAGATTTCGCCTTTTCTTCATCGCTCGCCGTTTCACTCTGAAAACATTTTCCATCCTCAAAAAATCTTCCTTTTATTCCAAGAAAAACCTTGGCCAATTCATTATTATCATCGATTCGCTTTTGAAGAGCCTCTCGGCGAATATTCCAAATCGTATAATTATCGCTATTTTTCTCGAGAACCGCCTGTGTCAAAGCCAATATTTCATCATCATAATTTCCTGAAAAAATAGTATTTTTTGAAAAAATGAAAAGTTAAACTCGCCTTTGCTTCTCTTTTCGAAAATTTTGTCCCGAGCACTCAAATAAAGCTTGCACTTTTTATCGTTCTCCTTCTTCTTGACCGCTTTTTCCTCCTCGGTTGTGGGCATTTTCTTGACGAAATGCATTTCTTAAAGTTGTTTTTGAATAGGTTTGGAGACAATAAACAAAAGCTTGCTCAAACGCTTGCACAGTTTTTAATGATAGAAAATTTAAAAAAATTGAAGCCCGTTTTCGAGAATTTTGAGACCTTGTTGATTACAAAATTGAGCCTTGTTGAAAATTTTGAAATTTTAAAGGCATGCTGGAAAGTGCGCGCTGTGCGCACTCTTTTCTCGTGCGCACGTAAGGAAAATGCGCACTCATTTTTCAAATTTTGTACAGGAAATTGCGCTCTCTTTCTAACATCAGGAAAATGCACACGGTTATCAAATTCTGCTCTTTTCTAGATTGAAGTCCACATAAACCATCTCACTTTTCTCTTTTTCATGAAGAAATCTTTCAGCTAAAGATGAATTGAACATCTTTTGATTATTTGATAATTTATGGAGAATATTTCTTATCAGGAATGGTCTGCGGTCACTTCGGAATGAGACCAGGTGTAGTTATGCAAAAAGTGAGATGCTCTCTTTTGAGACCAAGCTGATTCCAAGCTTGGTCTCAAAAGCTGCCGCGAAAATCTGCTAAAAAGTGAGATGCTCTCAAAATATACAGATCTTTTCCATCTGATAACATTAAACAATACAGAGTGGAGGAATAATTAATGCGACAAAAGTTTTTTAGCATTTGCTTTCGCCGACCCGAGCTCATTTTTGTTCCAGTGATTATTCCTACCTTCATCAAGCCTATAATATGATGACCGCCGTGCCACGCTGACTTTCGGAAAAGTCGTTTCTGCTTTTGGGCGTTTATGGCAAGGCAGGCAGGCTTGGCTATGAAAGCCTAAAGCCCCCTAGGCCTTGATTTTTTTTAATTTCGAAAAAAAAGCGCGGGCTCGGGCCAGAGATTCAAGAAACTTTTTTTATTTCATTAAAAAAACATTTTCACCGAAAAAAATATTTTTTTACATGTTGAATCACATTTTTTTAATAACTCAATGAAGAAAAAAATAAGCAAAAAAACCCCGCTTTTTCTCGTTAAAACAGCTAAAAAAATTCGAAATGAAGAAAAAATTTGAGCTTTTTTTGGGCCGGGCCGAACCACAAAAAAATTTTTTCAGTGATTTTTACAGCCAAGTACAACACTGGAAAAAAAAATCTTGACTCAAAGTTACTTCATTACGCATCAAGGCCGTATGAGAGGGAGTTTATTGCGACGTTCAGAAATTATTCGATAAGGTCGCCCTGAAGCTCAATGTGAACGTATTTTTAAGGTTTCGATTCTCGAAATTGATAACGATTCACGTCTATGTAAGCCTGTCAATTGACAGAAGTCGAAAAAAAATTGAAGGAATTTTTTCCGAAAAATAGACATGTGTCTCTACTTGGCACGCTGTTTGGATGCTCTTCATAGACGAATCGAGAAAGGGTATCGCGAGACCCTCTGAGGCATATCGCAGGGTCTGAAGCCTATCGATGGTAACCCGAGTATACCTCTGAGGACTTTGAGCAAAATGAGATAGACTTGAGGGAGACTCTAAAGTACCTCCGAGATAGCTCAGATATAGCTAAAAGGTATGCTGGAGGTCTCACGATGGACACATTATGGGGCCTTCACGATCCATTTTGAGAGGAATTTTTGTGGAAAAATCAAGGTGCCCAGTCTGATTCGTCTGTGTTTGTACAGACAAAAAAAAGTACATCATCGAAGCTCTCAAGAACGGTCAAAACCCCAGAGAATTTGCAGCAACACTCAGTGTTGCTAATATTAATGATTGGGCTATTTTACTATTCTTTCATCCGAAATACGCTATTTTGCTTGAAACTTCGTAAAACGGCAAAACTCAGCTTTTTCGAGTCTCTGTAAGAGATGAGGTCAACTTAGAGAGCAGTAAACAAGATAATTTGAAAGGTGTGTACCTTTTTTCTCAGTACCTTATGGGGTTTAGCAGATAGTATTGCCTGTTTTTAAGTACCCTTACTTACTAGGGAACTACTCGGACTCGGGTACGCGGATCGAGTTCAAACTTTAGTGGTTTATAGACCTAAGTGAAAACACTTGAAAACAAGTGAGAATATCTGCTAAACCCAATAGAGAACTGAGAAAAAATTAGTAGAAAATGTGAAAATTAGACCTGAAAATTTTCAGAATACTGCTTTTTACCTTATTTAATATTTTAATAAAATCGCCTTGAATGATCCGGCTATGATAAACACTAAAAAAACTTTTTTCCAGCCAAAAGAAGGATGAAAGCAAAAATTTGATAGTTTTCAAGCCTAAACTGTTCATTTTCAAAAAGCTTTTTCTCAGAAGTCTATAGGATTTAGCAGATAATCTCTCTTGTTTCCAAGTACTTTTACCCGGGTCTATAAGCCACCAAAGTTTGAACTCGATCCTTGAATGCGAGTTCGCGTAGTTCCCTAGTCAAAGCCAATTTTCGAGTCCTTATCGAAAAAGGTCTTATCCGGTTAGAAGAATGGAGTTTTGTTCTTTTTCTATTATCCCATTGACTCCAAAATTTTTGAGAAACTTCAATGTGCTTCTTGTAACAGTACACACCAGTTTGCCTACTGACTTTTGGCCGTTCTGCTCAAAAACTGTGACAAAACTGATTTCGACCATCTGCGTACCGCAGTCCATTGGGTGCCACTACATTTTCGAGCGGCAGTTCATGTTAATTTTTTTGATTAAATCCCTGTAAAACTTTATAAAAAAATAATTGTGAGTTCCCGGTCTTTATTGACTATTGACAATTGACATATTGACAGCTCCTTCATTTTGTCGCAGTAATAATTCATCACCCTGTAAATTTTCTTCAGAAATATTTTGAGCCTCGAAAGGTCCTTTCGATTTGTATTTCACATATTTCCCTTTATAATATAGTTTGTCCATGTTTTGAGTTTCAAGCAGCAATCTCTGCCCCAAACAAAGCCTGTGAGTGGCTCGTTCTCTGATTGGTTTGATCTACACATAAGAGGCGGAGTTCGACCGATGACTTGACATTCAAATTCTGAACAAACTATAAACGCCGACTGTGGCTTTCTTCGGAAAATAACATTCCAAAATTAAAAAAAGAAAACACATTATCACGTGAAAGGTAAATCAGTCTGACCAGTCTAGTGACCGCCTGGTATTATTATTGAAAAAGATGAATGCTGAAAAATCAGTTATATCAACTTCAAATAATCCGAAAGGACAAGATTTGATAACCGTGCGCATTTTCCTGTTGTTAGAAAGAGAGCGCGATTTCCTGTACAAAATTTGAAAAAAGAGTGCGCATTTTCCTTACGTGCGCACGAGAAAAGGGTGCGCACAGCGCGCACTTTCCTGCATGCCAATTTTAAATGTAAATCTTATTATATACTGATTATTTAGAAACTTAATTTTAGTACTAAGTCTTTTACAGACAATGGCCGTTTTTGCAACCTGAATTCTTTTGCAAACGCTCTGATTTGGAAGTGAGATTATATATCCTTATTTCAGTATTCATCCATCTTTTATGCTGCAAACTTGGTTTTGATAAAAAGCTATTTGTTATGAAATTACTGTTCATTAAAAGTTTTCCCCCAAGCGTTCCGCTAAAGATTCCCATAGATGAACAAGACAAAAAAAAATCATCAACTGTTAAACAATTGAAAATAAAATTATAGAAACACCGGGTTCGGTCGGAATTTCAAAATCGCGATGACAACTCCGTAAATAAACACCGAGCAAGTGTGCTCTATAGAAAAGGAGGGATTTTGAAATTTTCATTTTCTTTATATCATTTTGTTCAACTCTCAAACTTCCTGTAGCGATTCCAGAAATCAAAGGGTATTTTGAAGAAAGAGAATATTATTTAAAGATTTTTTTCTTAAGATTTTTTCAAACTGGTATTTCCCATCCAAAAAGTTGATTTTTTTGATAATTGAAATAACTTCACGTCGCGTGCATTTACCACCAAGATTAAACTGAAAAACCAAGAAACAATAAATATTTATTAAAGTGACGATACATGTAGTGAAATAAGATATGCAAAGGTGGAATGATTAAAGCTCAAAATTCGATAAAAGTAAATAAATTCAAGAGCAACATCAGTTTTGATGAATTCGGGATTTTACGCATTCAGTCGTAAATACTTCAGAAATGTAAGCCTTGTTGGGGATTTCAGAAGAACTTTCATCACGAGCCACAACTTTGCCGACGACCCAGGCAGGAAAGCCGTCGAGTTCTTCGATTTCCCGGATGAAACCCTGAAAAAATAACATTTTCGATGGAAATATTTATTTATTCCTATTCATAATCTTCTTTGAGGTGTAAATTTGATGGAATTCGCTCAAAAATCCGACCTCGACGTTTTCCGGGGCCAGGGCGATCAGCAGACCGCCGCTGGTTTCCGCTGAAGTCCCTTTGAAGAGTCGGAAGCCTTCGCCTCCGGCAGAAATCATCTTATTGGCGACTTCTTCGGCGTACTCGATGATCGGGAGTTTTTCGATCACAAAGTCTACTCGATTCTGTTGGGCGCGTGCCAGATTGTCAGCGTGGCCTGGAAATCACACTTTACTGCTTTTTATTATTTTTAAAGGCGGAAAAATCCCCCATCGCTGATTTGTGGCGGATCATATTTTATACATATTTTGAAAATAATGGATTTATACATCACGCATGTGCTACGAGGGCCGGCGGCAGGTCAATATTGCGCCGGAATTTTCAGGTATTTCTAAAAAAATATTTTTTTCCTTTTTGTAATTCCTATTTCTCGAGGTTACAAGATGGGTTACGTCACAAAAAGGACACAAGTTCTAGTTTTATTACCGAAAAAAACTTATTCTGAGTACCGTAATGTGGCCGGCTGCCTAAAATCAGTATAAACAAAAATTGGATAACTTTTCCGAGGGGATTTTATAACCAAAAAAAATTACTACCAGCCCAGTTGAGACAAATAAAGCAAAGATTTTCGTCGAAAATTAAAAAAGAAACTTAAAAAAACTTCGGATTTGTCCGTAGAGCATCAATTCCCTCAACTAAACGGCCAAATGTTTGACTTTTTCAATTTTTTTTTTCATCATCAGGCTGAAATAGCCGGAAAAATCTCACGACTTGATCAAGTCTGACCTGTCTGCGCTCTCTGTTCTCTCACCGCTCGAGGTCAGAGGAACGTGAAAATAGCACGTAAATAAGAGAAAATGCAGAGAAGTCGGATTTTTCAAGTTTCGAAAATAAAAGAAAAGCTATTTCATTTCTAATCATTTTTACCGGTCTGATTGGCTCGATAGAATCGAGATTTGAGTTTTCAATTCAAGTAATCTGTTCTTCACGAGTTGAAAAGACCGAGCTTCTCTGCGCCCTCCTCATCTCTCGGAGGCCCTCTCATGTTTACGCGCTATTTTCATGTTTCTCTGACCTCGCCAGTGAGAGAACAGAGAAACGCAGACACTTGGGAGCTGTCAAGTCGCGGCGAACGAACTATATTTAATTTTTTAGCTAAGATTCAAAGAAGACACTTGTTGGACGTAGATGACAAATGCAATTTGAAAACACTCTCTGGTTTACAATTTTTATCGTAAATTTTAATAAAACTCCAATACTACCCCTTCTTACCGGTAAAACTACAACTATAATGGCTCTTCTCTGAAAACTGAAAAAGGCAGTTGTTTCATATTCACCCAATATTCCAAACCCGGTGACGTCCGTCGAAGAATGCGCCTTGTACTTGTGGAGAAGCCTCGCCGCGTTTCTAACAAATTGAAAGAAGGTCAAATTAAGGGAGCAAAATAGAGAGTGGGAAACCTATTGAGACGCGCCATTTGCTCGCAAGTCTGCTGAAACGCTCGGACTATTTTCGCAGGTTCCAGGCCGAGTTCCTCAATTTTCGTGTCCTTTTTCTTCAGCCATTCGTACGAGTTTACGACCGCCTGAAGGATGGCGTAAACAAGGAGCTTTTGGGCTTGAAAACCTGTCCGCCGATGGGTTTGGTGATGACCAGGACGTCTCCGGGCTCAGCTCGATCAACTCGGATCAACTCCTCGTTGGAAACCACCGAAGTGGCGACGCCTCCAAGCAGGAGCCAGGGACAACGGACGGTCTGTCCGCCGCGGACTTGCGTTTCCGCCAAGTCAGCCGCGTCCTGAACATGCGATTCTTAAGTGGTCTCTCCAGGGTTTGCATCAAAAGCGTCAAAATGGAGTTCAGACGCGTCAATCTGTACTAGGACCTTGATAACGCGAATCGGACGTGTCGGGGCAATTTTAGTGGCCACTTTAGTAGCGTCAGTACTCTTAAGTGAACTCTAGAACTGCTCAGAAATGTCTGGAGTATAGTTTCGAAAATTGACCGTTCGACCAATATTTTTTCAACATGTCATAATAAATGGTCATTGGTCGACGGTTGGTGTTTCAACATTTCAACATGTCACTTCAGAGTGACATGTTGGTTTTTGACCGTTCGAAATGTCTTTCTGAAAATGGTCGGTCATTTTTCGAACGTTCGAAATGTCACTTCCAAATTGGTCGGTCGGTTTCGTAAATTTCAGAAATTGGTCGGTCAAACGAACGGTCAGAAAAATGACATGTTATAACCGTTCGAAAAACTGAACGGTCATATCAGTTGAACGGTCTAATTGGTCGAACGGTCGAATTTTAGAACACTAGTCTGGAGCACGTCCGTTTTTTGTTACCGAGGTCCGAGTATACTTCAAACTGCCCAAAAGTGGGTCCTTAAGGCTTTTTCAGTGAAAAAAGCATGTGGTCAGTAAGAAATCGAACTAAAAGTGCCGCTCAACTTCAGAAAACAGAAAAGAGCCACTGAAGCATTAAAAAGTTCTTCAAAAAGTTGCAAATTAACTAGGAAATTGGCCAATTATCCCAGATTCTAATTTCTTTGAACTCGAAAAAAAAAACTATCTATCAAACGGCATAGTGATAAGAAAGCCAGAAATAATCGTTTGTCATCGGAATTTTTTCCCAAAAAGTTGGTCTTTTTTCAAGCTAATATGCCCTAGCTTCAAAATAATCATGTTGAAACTTTACTGGAGTTATGAGAAAAACTATTTTCTTCAAGTTTCTTCGCTTTTTTTTTCTTGTTTAGTCCGGCTAATTTCGAGTTCCGGTCTACTGACTTCGAGAGTAGGACAACTTATTACACGTTCTAGTTGTTTTTCTCTCTATTATTTTTGTCTTTGACAATGTAACTTTGCGGTTTTATGATCCTAGAAGTCTCAAACTGGAAAATTGCCTGATTTTCAAGAAAATACGCTTTAAAGCTTCAAAAAACGTCCATATCCTAATCTTGTCATGGCTTTTCCTGAAAGATTTCACCGGTTTAGTTTTTCGAGGCTTTATCAGCAACATCAACCAATCAACACCAAAAGTCAGTTTTTTGAAAATGTTTAGTCCGGGCGCTACAATGAGCTTCCTTGTCAGTTCCTTGGGGTCAATTTTCGGGCTGATATTCCTTTTTCATTCTTTTCGAATTCAGGTTAAACTTTTCTATAAAATAATAAGTTTTGAAAGTTAAGACTTTCAAGGTCTTCACCTTGTTGACAAGATTTATTCTGGCCTCAATTTTCTAAAAAGTTAATTATGTTTCTAGTTTTTTGAAGTGAAGTTTTCCGATTTCTCCATTAATGAACCTCATTTCGGTACCTCTACGGAACTATTTCTCTCACTTTGAATCCCTGAATGAACTGGCTGACGATCGTGTCGCGTTCTTTCTCGTTTAAATCCACGGCGACGCCCAGTAACATGAGCATATTGTCGCAGTCGACGACGCCCATCGCGTACAAGTCGCTCAGGACGTTGGCGCATGTTATTCTGCCCTGAAAACGGGGAAAACTAACGTCTCAGCGTGAAGTTTGGACTTTATACTTTAATTTCCCTTTTTTTACTGAAAAAACATAAAAATTATATCTGTTTTCTTTTGCTGAAAGGGTTATGAAGACATTGAAAACTATTTCATCTCTCAAAAGTATAAGAAAATTACTTGTGAATTTAAAAACTAACTTCTTATAAATTCGAAAATGATCTGAATACTGTATTCTATTAGAATAAAATCTTGGATTCTTCTTTTTTCTTGAGAAAAAAATCTAATAAAACCGCCCATAAAAAGTCAATATGTTTGCCGTTCTCAGACGAAGAAGATTCTCAGAGCAATTTTCTTGTTCGTTTCTTCCTTCGATATTTCAAGGATTGAACTGTTTCCGTCTGCATTTTACTGTTTTTTGTTCTGCTCATTTTTACAAGGAAGGTAAATTTTTATGTCACTTCAAATTTTTACGGGAATTCGTTAAGAAGCTTCTTGATGTCCTAGAATGAGTTTCTGAAGATTTCAACTTACAGTGTTACCATTCTCTCAAGATAAGGGCTCCAAACTCCCCCAAAAAAAAAGAAGTTAAAAAGTCGTTTTCTGATTTCAAAGCCCTTTATTGGGAACTATTACATTGTATCTTTCTCAACATTGTTCAATGCATCCATAAAAAATCTAGCCAACTATTGAAAAGTTCCGAATCTTAAACTAAAACTAATATCCTTGTCAGTTTTTTAAGAACCTTTCCTGTGGCAGCTTGTCTCGATTTTGTTTTCCTCAGCTACAGGACCTTTCCCTTCAATGTGAGCAGTCTATCTCTGTTCATGCGCCTTTAAAATAAGGAATCGTTTTGGGCTCAATTAAAGGCGCACGTTCAGAGACAAGCCCGCGTATCGAAGCGAAAAGTTCTGTAGCTCAGGGGGAATAAAAAAGGTTAATAAGCTGACAGAGAATGGGCTATACAAAAAACTACTACAGTCTAAGCTCGTCAAGTCGTAACTAGATCAACTAGGACCGTAATATCCTGTTTTCCACCTGATCAAATACATGTTTGAACTACTATTTCGCTGAAGACGGTTTTTTGACTTCGCTTAGAAACGTACATGGAAAGACCTTACTTAAAGGCTGCCATTACCTAACTACCCACGGAGGGAAACAAAAAGACAAGCTGGGCTATACGATAATATGACTAGATCATCGGAAAACTTTTAAAGCCCCAGAAGCTTCTCTGACCCGTTCAGTTTGACCAACAGTTCCCCCAGAACCTACCATAATGTACGGATCATCGACGAGCGGATAGAAGAAATCGGTAGTCTGAACGAGGTTGAGACCCTTGTGTCGGAGCGGCACCACACAGCTGTCCAGTCCGATCCCTTGAGCTCACATCCGTTGAGACTTCCCCCCTCAAAAGGGCTCACCGACGGCGTCGTTGTCGACAACAACCTCACTGCCAAACGTCTTCAACAACTCGAGAAGTATCTCAAAAATTCAATTATGCTTTTCGGTGCCCTCAAACGAGGATGTGACACACCTCTCTGGGGACCTTGCACCCGCAACCTTTCATTCCGGTGAGCTTCGTCAGGACGAAGTCTTCCGGAAGACTATAGTCTTGAGGACTGAAGCCGTTCAGGATTCTCCTCACGGCCTCTTCCCTTTTATCGCTCACTTCCATTGCTCTTAAATTTCTCAAAAATCATTCTCATTGGGGAAAATTTGCCTTAGTCTATTCACGGCTGACAAAAAACGCGTGGTGTTTCCAGTTTCTGTAGATTTTTTTAAAATCTTGTCGAGACTCATTTTTGCGAACTAAAGGATCGAATCAGTATGGATCGGCTTCAAGATGATTCAAGACTGGGGTTGAATCTTGTTAGCTTATAGAAATAGGTACATGGAAACCAGAAATACAGTTCCATCAAAAAAGATACGAAAAAACGCTTTTTTGATCACAACTTTCTTCTATAGAGTTTAATATTTTTCAAGCCTTCTAAAGTTGTGATGGCTGTTATCTGTAACACTCTGGCGGACTTTCAATCCGCAGAAAAAGACGCAACTTCATAGATTTTCCAAAAGATCAAGCTCCACACAAGGAAGTTTTGAGCAAAATTTGTTTGGTATCTTTCTTTACGGTACTAGATCATATTGTCAAGAAAATGAAGAAAAAACATGTTGAAGATGAACTCGACAAGTTTTTTTCATTATATTTCCTCACTAAAAATTTTTTTGTATTCCTCCTTAATGACACTTTCATAGCATTTTTAAAAAAACAATAAAATTGATATTAATGAAAGATTTTTAAGCCTCCTTCCTGTGTGAATTTTTGTCTGTTCTTTTTTTTAAATGCCGTAACTAAACTTTGAAGATCTGTGTTAAGATTTTTTTGTAGTAAAAATCGTGAGTCCCTTTTTAATGACATAACTTTCAAAGTTGACAAATGTTGGTTTCGAGCCGTATTTTTGTGTTAAAGGTAAAAATTTATAAATAAATAACACAAAATTGCGCAAGGGACGACTACAAGTAATACCTTCAACTAAATTTTAAAATGGCAAATTTACAGAAAAATACGGATATTCCTCTAAAAAAATAGTTCTTTCTGAAACTTGACCTCATGGTTATTATAAATTTGAATCGACTTGAAAATGCTATATATAAATATCTCTTTTGACAAAGTTCCATTTCTTGACAAAGGTCACTGCTCTCATTTTCATCTTCAATCCACCGGATACGATGTTTCTTTGATCCTCAACCCAACTAATGGAATTCGTTTGCACAGGGGGAAAAAAGAAGTGACGATGTCAGTATATAATGATTTTGGGAAGAATGTGTTGGAAGTGAGAGAGAGAAATGACAACAGAATAATTATGGCTCTTTATAATTTCAATTTACCCTGTGCTACTTAAACGTCGTATAAAAGGCTGGAAGCGGCGGGATAATTACCGAGTCGTCTTCTGCTCTTCACTTTTCACAATTCTTCTATACAGTTTTCGAAAAATCCTCATTTTCAGCCTGGAAAACTTGAAAAAGTTTTTTACTGTTTTTTAAAAATGGACAAAAATCATTTCGATATACCAAGACACGGAAAGTCTCATCCTTCAAAAAATCCTAGCTTTTGCGAAAAAAAACGGCTCAAAGCCTACCAAAACCGTTACAAACTAGTGAAAATAGCAATTTTCCGAACTTGAGTTCTTTTCCTTGAAAAATGAGAAGTTTTACGGATTGAGACAATCGGAAATACCTATTCTTGTGCCTGAAAAAAAAAACACTGACCAACTTTCTGAATGAAATAAAAGTGATTATATCATACTGGACGTTTTTTAGCGTTCAGTAATTACTTTAGCGGCTTTAAAACTCTTAAAAAATCACTAAATGACACAAAAATGTTCAAAGACGTTTGCTTTGTATTGCAAGTTCCTGAGTTTTTTTTTTCAAGTGACTTTTCATCTTGACTGTAACAAAAAAATATTTTTCCAGGGTACTCTTTGAGATGAAGGTTTTGCTCATTGCGCTGCTGGTTTGCTGCATCTCAGCCCAAGTCGAGGCCACTAGCACCTACGAGCCGACGGATCAAGGGTAATTTCTTCGATTTGAAAGCCCAAAAGAGTAAAATAAACTATTAAGGGGCTACATCCTGCCGTCCCTTCCATACTACAAACGCAGTTCACTATCCAACATGATGAGGATCGGAAAGCGGGATTCCAGTGCAAGCCAGGGCTCTCGGAACGACCTCGCCGGCTGCGAAGACTGTAACTTGGGCACGCTTATGAGAATCGGTCGCCGTTAACTCTCTCACTCTCCCTAACTTATTTTCCATTGTACTTTCCCTACTTCTTTGAGTTGCCTGGTATTCAACAGCTACGATTCGAAAGCGTTCGGTATGAATAAATATTGATCGGATTGTTGAAAAGAAATGGTTTGAAATAGAAAAAAAAAGTTCTAAAGGGTTTTTGCGCGCAAAAGAGGTATATTACTTATCTCAATACATAAAATTGATTGTGAAAAATAAATAAATGTTGTATCGAACACTCTGAAAACTTCACTGGAGTGTTAAAAAGGTTTAAATAATCCAAAAAAATTTTTAAAGACGGTTTAATCGCCTTTCTATTTCTCAAAAACTCCAGCGAGCATTTTAGAACAAGTCACCACGTTATTAAAATGAGAGAACTAAACTGCAAAAAAAAAAAATAATAGTTAAAAAACTAATTGGTTAGCTCAATTTTCATTAAAACTCTTTTTCATTATCTCAAAACTCAAAATTCCAAGAACTTAAGTTTATAAACAAAAAAAGGAAATCATCACGTGATTTTATCAGATGAAAAATTTTGTCTAGCAAAAATATTGAAAAACAATGTGAACGAGCAATCGTCAAAAAGCCAAAAAAGAGATAAAATAAAAATAAACAAAAAAATTGTTTATGATTAAAGAAAAGTCCTCTTGAGTGATCACTCTGCTTCCCTTGAGAGGTCTGAGCGTTTATCAATGGCGCGCAGGTTGCTTGCCTTTTTTGCACTAATAAAATGTGACTGGCGTCCTGTTCGTGTTTTACAGAAAAAAAGACTGTTCTCTGCTTCTTTTCTATTCATTGTGACTTAAAATTGATTTATGTAGTAATAAACGCGTCGATAATACTTTGTTTTGCTTTCTAATTGCAATTTTCTTGTTTTAAATCGCTTTTTTTGTAGTATCATTTTTTAATGGTATTATCTCTTGAAAAATCTTGAATTTCAGTTACCTCAGTGATGGTATGGGTGACTCCCGAATACTTGCTACTAGCCCAGCCATTTTGGTAAGCTTTTCCGATTTTTTCTTCAGAAATGAGGTCTTTCAGGACTTGCGAGCTCTCCAACAAGTACTTCAAATTGCAACGGAGAAAAGGACACGGAACTCGGGGATTTTCTTCTTTGTTGGTTGCGACGATTGATTCAGTCTTCGACACAAGACCGCCGCCATATCGACTGATTTACGACTTCGATGATGAAGATCTTCATGTTTCCATTTGTAATTTTCAGAGTAAAACATAGATTAAATTATTAAATTTTAGTGTTGGCAGTAGCTGTTGAGAAGAAGGAAATAAACGAACACTGGCGATGGATCGAGCAGAATATAATGCCTGCTTCAGGTGAGTATCACAGAAAAAGACCTGAAAAGGAACTTTTTTAGTGCCATTTCAGTTACCAAAATTTTTTTCAAGGAATTTAGAGGTTCAGAAAAAGAAGGCGTAGAATTTTTGAAAAAAATGAATTTCTTTTTTTGAAAAAAATATTTCTTTTTTTGAAAAAAATAGAATTTTTGAAAAAAATAAATTTCTTAATAAGCGGAAAAAGATTCTTATTGAAAAAAAGATCAGCATTTTTTTAGCCACAGAATGAACTTTATTTTCCGAATGCTGTAAGGATTTTAATAGAAAAATAACCGTACTTTCTGGGTATTTTCTGTGGCCAAAAAAATTTCAAGGAAATAGACAATAAAGAAAAAAATAAATTCGCGGGTAAAACCGTCCCTACAAAGCCGAGAAATTCACCTATTCTTGACAGATTTTATGAAAAAAAGTACCTTATTAGTGTCTTTTTCTGGGCTTTTTCTGTTGAAAAAAAGTCTCTTCAAATGAATAAAAAGGATAAGAAAAAGGCCTGTTTTTCAGTCGAAAAATCATTATTTTCATTTTTATTTTTAAGTAATTCAGATGAATGTGCTTTTTACGACTTTATTCTTCCTTATATGGGTCTCAAAGGCATTGAAAAAGCTCAGAGTTCAAAAAATGCTTAGAAGTGGTCCCTAGAGGAGTGAAGATAGCTTTAGGTGCTTATAGGTCAGGACCCCTATAGTGTAACCCCTATAGTGACTACCTCAATTTTAGTCCTGTAGGGAGCACTGTTTTTACCCCTTTAGGGGCTGCTTTTTCCACAATCTCTAGGGGCCACTCGGGCGTTTTTCAGTTTCTAAGTGAAAAGCAATAATTTTAACTTTTCCAGTGGATTCAATACAATCGGAAAAGGAGATCCGTCGCTTCGTAATTTGCAAAATTTCGGCCCTCGTTTCTCCAAACGAAGAATTCGTTGCCCCGTATAATGGTATATTCAGTATTTTTCAAAATCAATATTTTTTTATTGGTTTCCAGAAGACCTGGATTCCGTTTCGACGAGGTCTTGTCTCGAAAAATTCCATAAGATTTTCTCGATTCCGCCAGATGAGAAGCTTGTCAATTGTGAGTTTACATCTTTTATTCCGTTTTTTTTTCGATTTTCAAATTATTCACAAGCTTCCGAAAAATCTGAAAATTTTCAATCGTATTGCTTATGAGTTTGAAAAAAACCATTTTTACCAATTTTTAAAGATCCCTCTTTTTTATCTGAGAAAATACCGCTCTCTCTTAATTTAGCAAAAAAAGTTCAGTACTGAGTTTTTTTCTAATTTATAATTTTCATCAAAATAAATTGCAGTATATGTTTCATTTTCGTAAAAATTTTGCAGAGTTCTGTACGAAATTCGCAAAATAAGCGGTTTCCAAATTTACGACGCAGTTAGAAAGTTCCCCTATAAGGACCACCTTACCATTCTCTATAGGACCCACTAAAGCTTCCAAAAGTGGTCACTTCAGAGTTTTACTTAGTGGCCACTCTAGCGGAGCACATTAGTGCTTCTAATACATGTTTTAATACCTATTTTTGGTTATTGAATCTAAACAAAAAAATTAAAAGGCCCCTAGAGGGACCACTTAAGATTTAGGGGCTTAAGGATAGGATCCGAAACACATGTAGAAAACATCTAAATTTTAGCCCTCTTCCGTCCACTTTAGGGGTTTTTTCCCTAACCCCTCTAGGAACCACTCTGGCTCTTTTAAGAGGAAGTCACTTCAAAAATCATTATTTAAGATTACAAATGCTGTTACTGGAAAGGTCGGGTGCCGAATCAAGGCGACATGTTTCTCTCAGTGAATTTCGTCTGTTTTTACTCTTTTTTGGTGGGAAACGAGACGAAAATCAAGCTCAAATGGACCGATATTGTGGTGAATTCATGAATTCTTGTTGCAGTTTTCCAAATTATAATGATTTTCAGAAGCTAGAAAGGAAATCTTCCGTTCTTTTCCCCCAAAACTTGGAAATCGTCACCCGGGAAAACGTGAAACACACGTTTTCCATGTTTCTCAACTTTGACGAAACCTTCAAATTGGCGTCGCAACTGGCCAATTTCGCCATGAAACAGTGAGTTGCGGGAGATATTTTAGGAAAATTTGACGAGGGGCAAAAGGAGTAGTAGGTATTTATTAAAAGAAAATAAAGTAGAATTTAGACCCCGAATATATTTTTTTAATTTCGCGCTTTGGAGCTTTACCAAAAGAAAATTCTGGGAAATTCAGTTTTTTTGGTTGAAAAAAACGAAATTTCTGAGTAGCAGAAGAACGAATAGAAGTACCTATTGAAGAAAAAGCAGAATTCAGATTTTGATTTTTTTAAAATTATTTTTCATCCTTAAAATTCTTTTTTTCTTTCTGTTAGAATTCCTATTCTGCTCTTCTATTAAACAAATGTTTTTGAAAACGTCTAAAATCAAGTTTTGAAACATTGAATTTTGGTAGCCAATCTCGAAAAAAACTCATGGCAGAAATTGATATTACGAAGTAGCAAAAGAAGAATAGAAGTACTTATTGAAGAAAAAGAAAAAAACAAAATTCTGATTCTTAATCTTTTTATTGGTATAGTCAATGTTTCCCGACTTGAAAGGCAAAGGAGGCGGGGCAAGGGGCAGGGACGCGTAGTGTGTGCGTACGCGGTTCTTGGCACGAGTTCAATTCAATTGTCGCCGACTATCTAAAAAGCTCGGCAACCGCTCTTTTTCAATGTTTTCTACTAATTTTTGATGCACACATGAACATTTATTTGATTTATCTCATAGCACTCAAGTAATGTCATGGAGATTTTATTTTTATAATAATTAGCACCTGCGATAAGAATGAAAAAAAGCTTCAAAAAGTTATTTTTTTCTGTATAAGAAGTGAATGAAAGACAGGACACAAATGGTTGTCCATATTCACAATATTTACAAGGGAGGTTATTTCGCTTTGCGGTTTTTGATTCGTTACAAATTTCCTCAAACAATCTTGGAATGTAGAGATAAAGAATCCCGATCCCGCAAACTTCTAGTTTTTGAAATATCATCTTTCAAATTTGCAAAATGACATTCCGAAATTTAAAAATTATCATCTCGAAATGTAGAATTTGAGCCGGGTGGCGACTATGAGAAGTCTTTGTTTCAACCTTCAAGATTTTGTAGAAAAAGAAAATGACCTCATAATTTGCCTTGTAGAGAGAAAAAATGTTGAGGTTGGACCACGGGGAAATTAGGAGGATAAGTAGGAGATCTCACTGGGTATCTTTGAGATTTCATTAGTGACAAGAATTATGGAAAGGCAAAGAGGACTTTAAAGAACAGTTTATAGAAAAGGTTGTTCTCAGTGACTTGCTGGTTTTTCTATTGATAAATAGATTTTTTGATGGCCTTATCAGTTCATAACTTCGAATTGGTTAAGATTGATCGAAGAGGAAGGATTCTGCGAAGATCCGGCCCTCCGTCGAAAAATGCTGATGGAAAGCGAGCAACGGCGGGCCAAAAAAACGAGCGCTTCGTTTTTGAAACGCGACTTGGATGCTCGACAGAGGAGCGACATCTACAGGTGCGTTCATTATTTTTGAAAATCTGGAGAAAATGAAGGATTCTGATGAATTCACTCTTACTATAAAGCTGTTGGTCGCGACTTGAAACGGCTCATCCAAAAGGGCATAAGAAAGCGGCGTAAGAGGTTTGAGCCATTCCAAATCGACCGCGGCCCTAAGTGCTGCATTTTCGTGTTTCTCAAATTAGGGGCTATGAATTTGATAATTTTCTGAGTTCTTCAAATATTTGACCGCACGTAGAATGGTTCGACGCGTAACGGCTGCGAAGCGGTCCTTTGAAAAAAAAAAGAAAATAATGCAAAAAAGGGGTAAATATGAGTCTAACAAGCTCCCTTTACATTTGAAACTGCAACCGACTCAAAACTGCTTGCGCCAAGAACAAGCTTTGAAACAAGACGTTTCGAGCCATTCCAAATGCGGTCTCGGCTTTGAAAGTCGGATTTTCAAGTTCAAAATGTTTTCATGCATTGTAATAGTGTCTATAAATTTTATTCTTATTATTATCTCCGTATTCCTTTATCATCTGGTCGCACGTAGAACGGTTCAACCATGCAACCGACTTAAAACGACTTGCGCAGCTTCAAAAATTCTAGAGCAACTTGCGACGCTTTGAGCCATTCCAAATGCGGCCACGGCGTTTACTAAGCGATTCCAAGGCTTTTTTCGTTTTCGAGGTTTTTATGGGCATACAATGCTAGTAGATTTATTATTCATGCATTTTACAAAAAGTACGAAATGGTACAAATTAAAACCGTCATGGGGTTATGCATTTCTTCTTTTATATACTGAAAAATAAGCTCAATAGGCGACACCAAGGCTTCCTTCCTTCACAAAATCGTTCACAATCGTTTTCTCATTGTTATTTGTTGGGATTTCGTCGGTAGTTTTGGGCTCTTCCCGTTTTTTCGTACTGATCCGTCGGTCCACCGCCGGCGCTGTTGGCTTTTCGTTCTGAAAATTGGAGGATTTCTGAAGAATGGATTTAAAAAGGGTAAAAATAGGGAATTTCAACCGATCAACTAATCAATTTGGCGTAAAACTGGGCATTTTTTGTTTTTTAATTTTTTTGAGGCCAAAGTGGCATTTTCAGTCCAAAATCTGAATGAAAAGGATTCTTTATTTTTAAAAAAATTATTTTCAAAATTTACCCTCTCTTTTCCATTCGGCGACCAGTCATACGGTAGATATTCGACACTGTAATCTCCAGTGAAGAACATTTTCTGCAACGTTTTCTTCTTTTCCGACTCGTCGTCCTCCAGAACCTCGAGAATCCATTGAATCGTCTGATTTTCATGATTTACTTTGATCATTTTCCATATTTTACTTTCTCGGGGGTGCCGCCAAAGTCGTCCGAGTACCATTTGAAGGTCTTGAGAAGGTGAACAACGTTCTTTTTCGTGTCGAGTTTCATGAATTCGTCGTTGAGAAGAACTTCTTTTGCGTTCTCTTTGAGTTCAGCCCGGATTGTCTGGAAAATTGTGAGCGTGGCTTTGAATGGAGGTGTAGTAAAGTTGAATAAAGGAGGTCATAGATAGCCCTGATAGATTGGAAGATAAAAAAGAGACGCCAGAGAAAGAGAGATCTATGTCTTCTATGGAGTCTCTTCAGGCTGCCACTGATCTTTTCCTAATTTTTTTGAAATAAAAAAAAGTCAGAAGCCCACCTTGCAATTGTAAACCCGGATAGGAGGTGTAGAACGAGTTCCAGTGAGCAAGGCGAAATGAACCAAAGGTTCGCACTCGGGAAGGACCAACGGCATTCTAACGTCGTGCTTCCCGAAAGCCTTCCAAAGCATGCTTGGACCTTTGCGATTCCCCCGTAAGATTCCGTTGAGAATCGAGTGGAGTGCGTATTTATGACCTCCGATGTAGTAGTAGGTCGCGTTCATCACCTGGAAGTTTTTTTCATTGAAAAATGAAGGATCTTGAATAATTTTGAGGCTCAAAAAGTCGAAAACGAAAGACTAGGAGAGGTTTAAGAGACGTCAGAGAAAGAAAAACGCGCTATTTTCTCTGGAATCTCTTCAGAAAAGACAGAAAGGCTAGTCTTACTGAAATTTTATGGAAGAAGGAGATAAACTGATGCAGATGAAGGACTCCAGAAGTGGTTAAAATGGGTTTTTTTTTTAATTTCACAAAAATTCTTGAATTTTCTATGAACTTTTTTCATGTGGGAATGTATGAATTTTATAAAGTTCAAAGTTTTCTACTGAAACGGCCAAGAATCTCCTGAAGATGGTTCAGTACTCTTGAATGACCGCTTTTATCGATTTTGCTAGACTTTCTGTAATGACTCGAAAAGACTAGACCTCGGTAACTTGACGCTCCAGACGTTTTGAGCAACTCTAGGGATCACTTAAGAGTGTTCACGCTACTTAAATGATCACTAGGAATGCTCAGAAACGTCGAGAGTGCGCCCGAATTGCATTGCCGAGGTCCGACTAAGTCTTCATCTTTTTTTTTTCTCATTGGAGCGAAAAAGCTCTCGTTTTTCTTGCTCATTTCTCCTTTTTTCCATCTTCTTCCTACCTTTCTCCGCTGCCAGATGGTCTGCGGCGGTCCACATTTCAAGGTGATATGGATCAGCATAATGTTGTAGATGTTGATGAAGAAGGCGAGACGTTCATCTGGAGTTCCGGTCGACGGTTCGACCCGGTATAATTCCCTGGCAAACTGCTGGAATCGGTTGAAGTTGTCGTTGTCGATCAGTCGTTGGTAGAGAATCGTCTGAGACACTAGTCCATTTTCGCAAAATTGAAGATCTTACCCGATTGTTCTCGACGGCAATGTCGTCGTAGATTGGTTGAAGGATCTGGACGAGCTTTTCGTTATACTCGGCGATGGTCATCAGAGGGTCCGTGGAGGTCGATGTGGTGCTCCCGCTGGCGTTGAGTGGCTTGTTTTCGTCGTCTTCAACTAGTTGGTAGTATCTGAAGAGGTTATTCTCGTTATTATTAGAGTCGAATAGCTCAGAAGCTTGGGCTTCGAATCGGAAGCGCCCTAGAAGTATCTGAGCATTCCTAGTGGCCACTTTAGCGGCGTCAGTACTCTTAAGTGATCCATAACATTGCTCACATACGTCCAGTCCACTTTACCAAGAACCGATAACTTTTTTATCCATAGAGCGCAGTAAATTTTCAGCAGTAAGAATGAGTGTCTTCTAAAGTTTTCAAAAAAACCGGTTTTCTTTTTCAGTTTGTTCCTCCACTTTTGGCCTAGGGTTTTCTTTTTTTTAAGATCTCTCCCAACACTTTGGTCCACCTAAAAATAGTTGGAAAGACCGTAAATTCTATTTTAATCGCTCACCGATCTGGACTGAATGTCATGCCGACCTCGTTGGACGTTTGTTGACCGACGTGCCGATCGATGATTTCTTGGCCAACTTCCAAAGCCTCGCTTCGTTCTGAAACTTCCTCATAGTCTTCATTCCACTTATAGACTTTTAAAGTTGAGAAAATGGGGATTTATCAAATTTTACCAAGTATATTGAGCGCTAAAATGTGTCGTCGAATCATTGGAGCCAGATGAATAGTACTTTCGTCGAAGAATTCGAGGTTAAGGTCCAGGTCATGCTCATTTTCGTCATCGTTGGACCACCACCACGACTCGCTCAGTTCGTCGAGTCGTTCCTCCGACCAGCGGGTCATTTTTTCCCGACTTATTGAGGATTTAATAGAGTTGGAGGGCGTGAAGGAATAGGTTTAATGAAGTTTGAAAAAAGAAGAAAAAATAGAAGTCTTCTTTCAATAAGTTTGAGTGTTGGATTGTGTAATTTTCCAAGGAAGATAGGGTTTTTGGAACTTTTTACAGCAGAGAATTCGATTTTAAACTGGCTGAACTATGAATAAATCGATAAATGGGTTGATCTTGGGACGATCTAGTAAAATAAGGGAGTTTTCCAAGATTTGCAGATTTTTTCAGGTTAAGTTTCAGGACCAGAAAATATAGAAATATTGTAGATTTTCAATCGATTTTTCTGTTCCTTGTGATTTCAGCAGTGGAAATTGTGAACGTCGTCTTGAGTAGGTGAAGGGAAATTTTCGAAGTGGAGTGATGGGGACGGCAGAAAAAGGAAGGAAGAAAAAAACGATGGAAAGAGGGGGGCGGGGGTTCGTTTCGATCAACTTTGATTTATATCGCATCGTCTTGATTTTTGTTGATACTTTGTAAAAGAAGAAGAAGAATAGCCAATTCGAGTTGATTTTTGGTTTTTGGTTAAACTAGTGGGGTAAGTGGAAAGTAAGAAGTAGAATGATCAGTGGATATTTTGACGTTTGGATACTTTTGAGATGATTTTTTTGCGTTTTGAATTAAAAAAAGGTTTGAAAAACTGAAGAACATGCCAATTCTCAACTTTGAAAGGTGGTAATTTAGTAATTTAGTTTCAATATTTATCATATTAAGAACACTTTTTTTAAAAATATGATGGAAAAAAGAAAAAAATCGGATTTTGGTGAAATCCAGCGTCTTAGTTGGAAAATTTCTCTGCTTGAACTGCTAAAAATTGTTTTTTCTTATTTTTTTCGGAACATTGCTAAGAAGATTTTATTGATAAATTTGAATTCCTGAAGGTTTTTAGCTTTTTGAATCTCTTATTATCAGCAAAATTAGGTTTAAACTATCATTTTTTGACCCTTTCACGCAAAACTTTCCAAGGTCATTCTCTCTCTTTGTTAGTTTTGACCTACAATGACCATTGTTCCTCTCTCTTAAACTTAAAGTTTTAATTTCAAATAGTTCTATTGATCTTCGCAACCTTTGATCTCACTCACCGAGAAGGTCCCAGCTGTTTTGAGTCGGAACAGTCGTCTTTGACTCCATTTTTGGCCCAATCTATCACTTTTTGAAGACCCGGCAATCAATCAAAAGGCAAAAAATCAAGAAGAGAAGGTTTTGCAGTGAGAATAAGGTTGGAATCGATGTCTCTGAATGGTTGGAACGGAGAAAAATGGAAAAACTTGGGCTGTAAAAAAATGTTTCTCTGAGCAAACAATGGCCTGAAAGAGGGGGATTATACAGAGAAAAGTCGAGAATAAAACGTGTTATTTTTTGTGTGAATGAATGGATCGTAAAAATAGGCGCATTTTTCATGTTTTTTGTTGAATTTTGATACGAAAAACTCACTCATTCCCTTCTCCTTCATGAGCCAATCGATGAGCTCCTCGCCTTTGAACGAGTTTTTGTACTTTTTCATCAGACCGACCTGAAAACTTGAATTTTCAGTGAAAAAAAAATAGAAAAAAAAACCTTATTATCCTTGATTAGGTTGGCCTTTTTCATCTCACTGACCAGTTTGCTGTACTCGTCGGGTAGCCAGAGGAGAGGGTCGTCTGGAAATTTTTCTTTGAAAGGAATTTTTAGTAGATTTTTTCCGTTTACTTTGCAATTCAAGGCCTATATTCTTAATTAACGAAGGTAATATACCAAAAGAATTTTTAAAGTTTATCCTTGGAGCGCAATGGAGTGCGGCCTAAAAATCACTGCTTGAAAATTCTTGAAAAGATGGTTATTTTGAAAATTTAGCTTGAATTTTTCATGACCATTTTAGAAAATGTGGAAGGTTTAGCAAAAATTTCTCAGCATATATTTTTAAAAAAAATCGTCCATAGAGAGAAAATAAGCTCTCCGTGCCCTTTTCTCAGCAATTTCATAACGAAAAAGGTTAACTTTCATTCAGTTTTTCATATTTGAAGATCTACCTAGAAATGTATCCATAGAGCGCAGTTCAATTCTTGGCGGCTATTTTTACACAAAATAATAAAAAAATTGCTGGTTAGAAATGATCAAAAAGACCAGTGTGAAGTACGTTACACTTCATCTACATATTACTGAAAGCACAAGATCATTGATTTTTCGGTGATTGGTAAATTGAATCCGATTTATTTTTTCCGGATAGGTCTCTCAAAAGCTGTTTTTTCCACGGAATTCGTCACTTGGGCTATGGTCGTCTTAACATTAAAAAAATTGAAGTTTTCAACGGTTTTTAAATTTTTTTCTTTCGTGACGGCGTCATGGAATCAGATGGTTCTCCGTTGACTAGGGAATGGTTTTTAACTTTTTACAGTCCCCAAACACGTAAATTAGGACAAAAAGCGCTATTTTTCAAGCCTTCAAGGCGTCCTAACTAAAAAAAGATCTATTTCGAGAAATGTGTTTCTCTTGTAAAAACATTTTCCTAGTAAGCATTATGTTATGCCCGAGAAGTTCAAAATTATCTCTGTTTCTCCAAAATTCAGTTATATTTTCTATTTTCCGACGGCTATTATGAAACTCGTGGAATCACTTTGAACACGGCATTAGGTGAATCCGAAAATATCTATAAAAGAAAAATTATCTTGTAGTGAAATCAAGACCCGATTTATTGTTATTGGCGTTGTCGCTATGAACAAAATCCATGGCCGTCAGTGGATTCGGTAGTTGCGGTCCGTCGATGTTGAGCTCGACACGGACCATTTCCAGTAAATCGTCCCATTTCGAAGGCTCCGCCATCTGAAAGAAGCATCTAGAGTGGAAGAAAACTTGAAGAATCTCACAATTTTCTCCAATTCGGCAACTCCGCCGATGTGGACGCTGTTGAAGAATATTTGCGGTAGAGATTCACTTCCTGACCTTTCGAAGACTTCTTGAACGCACTGAAAATGAAAAAATCCAGCAGGGGAGAAGAATTTGTTGGAAATGAGAAGTTTTGGTTTGAAAGGTCACATTTGGAATGGCTCAAAGCTTTTCGTTTTTTAATACTGTTTCACGTAAGTCGTATTGAGTCGGGCGCAACTGTTCGTTCAGAGATGAAACTTTTGAAAATTGGTGAAATGATAAACTATTTTTTATGAGTTTCGAGCTCATTAAAGCGATCTATTTTTGATTTTTTCAAAAATTAAAAACAAAAAATTTCATTTTTACGCGGTATAATGACTATATCAAAAGGGGGATAACTAGGGTTTTTATGAATTTTATTAGTTTAAAAGTTGATAAAAAAGGATTCTGTTGAAACGGAAAAAAATCTTTGTTCATTTGAAAGTTAATATAAAGGATCTACAGTAAAAAGAAATGACAGAAATCGACTTCAAATTTTTAAAAAGATTATGAAAAAAATTTTTGAGAATTTTTTTCAGAATTTCACAAAAAAATGAAGATTTTATATTATAAAAAGAGATTTTGCAACCAAGAAATAATATTTCAAGAGAACAGAATAAAAAAGCGTTTTCCTACCACACCAAGACAACTGATTTTGAAATTCGACAGAAAATTAACGAGAAAATTCTCAATTCGATAGGAAAGTTCATGAAAGATGGGGGCTGAACAATGAGGGGAAAATGACGTTTTGCTCTTTTTAATGTCTTTCTTTTTCCCCTCTTTTTGTTGCCCAGAAGATAATGGATGATAAATGGATGTTACCTGGGGAAAGGTGTCGAGAGAAACGTCGGTGTAGGGAACATTTTCGCGATGGAGCAAATTCCGCGCCTTGGCACATTGAGCATTTCCCACTTCAGTGTAGACTATCACGGTTCCTTTGAAATCGTCGTCTGAGGAATTCGGCATTTTTGGCTGAAAATTGAGATGATTTGAAGAATATTTATAAGTTAAAACGAAAAAAATAAAGATGTAGATGTATGTCGGGAAAATCTTTGGATGATAGCATAAGTTTCACAATATCCCATCTTCGAAAGACTTTTTTTGTCATATAATATTTTTTTCATAAGGTAACATTTCAATTGGCGAACCGAATAATGAGAGAAAACAACAAAAAAGAACGAAAAAAGAGGTTGATGAAAAAAAATAATGAACCCGATTTTTCAGCTCCATAACGAGTACAGATACGCGTAAATTCGAATAATTGAAGGGAAATTTTTCTAAAAAAAAATAACTGATTCTTTTTTGCCCTTTTCTGTTAGTTGTGTACGTATCTTTTTATAAAAAAAAACGAACTTGAAAAAAAAACCAAGTTTGAAAATGGATCCTTCTGTTGCTTGAATTGTTTCCGTAGTCCGTTTGAACAAGTTTTTTTTTCTCAAGTCCATAAAATCTTGAAGTCAATAGTTGGGATTTCTAATAGCTCTTGTGAATGGACTATATTCATAGAAAATTCATTTATATGATAAAACTTGCCTGGGATCAGCTCTAAACTTTCAGAAACACGAATAATTATCAAAATTTACGATTATAAGTATTCAAAAAATGGACTGCACAATTTTATTGGAAATAAAGACATTTAAGGATTTTGAAGAAATTAAATATTCATGATTCAACTTATTTTGCTCCTATTTTCGGAAAAAGTGTTCTGAAAGCTTCGGAATTTTTATGACGGACAAATTCGATTTAAAAAAGCTACATGAGGAATTCTAGGTTTCCATAAAGTTCAATATGAACAGTTCAATAAAAGAGAGCTTCAAGAGAATTCGCCAAAAAAATTGTTTAATTTAGAATCTCGGTATTAAACAAGAGTTGAAGAACTTACATAGGAAACAAAGTTCAAAAACCTCAATTAAGTTAAATTTCTTTAGAAAAATCAATGTTTTCTACGAGAAAGAAAAAAAGAATCGAATTTTCTTTAAAACTATCAACAAGTATTTCTTTCAACCTAAAGTGGATTCAGCGAACTCGAGAAAAATAAACAGGTTCAATTAAAGACTGAAATTTTTTTCAAGTGAAATTGAGGTCATGTGAGGAGGCAAGAAATGCAACAAGTTTTTTTTTCTAATTTCAACCCTCGTGTAAACATTTCTGGACAGTTGTTCGTGAGATTAGAAAGTTGCTAGTTTTTTTCCGAAAAAAAGAAGGAAGTTGGAGAATAATGGACAATTTGTAGTTTGTCTTTATTTGATGTAATCTTTAGTGATTTTTAGGAGTTTTTTTGAAAATTGTGTAAATTGTGTGAGCTTCTCCGAAACAGTTGATATTCGGAAAATGTCGGAAGTTTTGGTAGAAAAAAGAGGTTTTGTAAATATAGTCCATTCATTAAAGCTTTTCGTTTCGAGACCTTCGAGAAATTTTCCTAGGCTTCTTTAAACAATAAAGCAATATTTCAGACAACTTTCATCTTTAAAAAACGCGAATCAACTTTTTAAAAAATAATTTGCTCATGAGACTTCTGAGAGATGCTCTCTGGACGCCAAATGAATAAAAAGCTGGAATTTTTATTAGGAATGCCTGAACTTTCAAAAAACGTGTTCAAACAGTCTACTGAAACACCTGAAACAACAGAACGACCCATTTCGGAACTTTGCAATTGGAAGTTCGTTCTGCCATCGAAATATACACGCATGACTCACTGAAATTGAACGAAAGAATGGGAAAAAGAGAACGTTTGAAGATGAATTCTCAGTTCTCCCCGGGGGTCATATGGTGGTGGAGGAGCTAATTTTGTTTTCTCCATGGAGCTGGATGAGTGTAATAGTTTCTCGATCTCCAAGCACTTGAACTTTTTATGATGGGAATGACGTGAGAATGGACTGGATTTATTGAAAAATTATTGGATTCAAAGGAAAATGATCAACGAATTAGCTGACTACGGGGCGTTTTTAGCCTCTAGTTGAAATTTTGATGAAAGTTTGCTAGCATGTACTTTAGGATCTCCTGATTCCAGAAAAAGGAAAAATTTTCTCGAGATCTCGTTTTCGAGTTGAGATGCTTCAAAAGCTTGAACTAGCGCTTTTTTGAGTATTTTGCGAAAGGTTAAAACGACCCCTAGTGAAGCAATATTCCAATTTTTTTGTTTGTAAAATTGAAAAAAATCCTGTTTTTTTGATATTTTTTTCAAATCTTACTTGGTTGAAACTTTTAAAAAAAGGTACAGATCTTTTAAATTTTTTTGGCGTCTTTATAAGATTTTTTTCAGTTCCTTACGAAAAATTGGCATGCTAGTTCAAAAATTCAACTTGAAGTAAATTTCATGAAATCGAAGAGAAAAAAAGTGGGCGCTGGAGTCTCAAAATACATAAATTTTTTTGATTTGAGTCCTGCAAAAAAACTTTTTGACGAAATATATGCTTCGTCAAAGATTAAAAAGTAATAAATTGAGCATTATATAAAAAAAGGGAATGAATACAATCGGAAAAAGCACACTAAAAAAATATTAAATATCAAAGATGAGGACTATGTTATCAACCAACCGAATAAAAGGGCGGGGGAGGTATTTACAATGGATTTCATCAATCATTATCAATTTTCCGTTTTTTTCAAGCCTGTTAGGAGTTTGAATCCTAAAAAATATCTGTCTCGATAATTTTTTTTATTTCATGAACTTCAAATTTTGACGATTTATTGAGAAAGAGAGGTGAAAAACGGCAGCAAAACAAATTGGGGAAATGTCAAAAATTATCTGATAACCTAATAAATTTGTTGGAAGCACCGAAAATGGCCTGTAAATGATCACATGCTCTTCATAATTTATCAGGCTGGTCGTCAAAAAAAGCCGGAAAGATTGGAGAGTTCAAAAGATAACGAGAGGGCAAGAAAAGTGCCACATCTTTATGGCATTTTTGGTGTTCAAAAATCCAATTTCGAACTCGGCAAAATGAACCTCAACTTAGGTTTTCTCTCACGTTTTGCCAGTTGGAAAATCGATCGAGAATGTCAGGTATTGGGATGGAAATGGGAGAAACAAACAACGCTGATCCAATAGTAAAACATTTTCGGCATAACATGACATTTTTTTTTGAGAAACACAAACTTTGGCGCTTTGGATTTAATTTGGTCCTTTTTACTGGGTTTTGAAGCGATTTTTTGGGGTTTTTTTTTGAAAAGGTGTATCATCACAAATTTTTTGCGAAGGCTATTTTTTCAATAATTCTTTGCAAAATGTTCATTTTTCAAAAAAACTGTTTCAAAAAATTTTTCTGGAAAGGTTCTTCCAAGTTTTTTTGCAAATAAATTTGTATAGACAAAAGGGAAGATGTTTTCAAATTCATTTTGAAAATTGATACCAATAAAATGAGATTCGTAGTGAAGACATTTGACGAAAATCTATAATCATTGGCCTTTGATTGAGAGTTTTCGGGTAGAAAATCCTGATCTTTGAAAAAAAAAATTCAAAATTTTTGATGAAAAAAGCTGGAAAGGAACATTTTGAAGTGAAAGTTGAAGGATAGTAGCTCTCAAATAAGTTTTTTTCGCGAAAAATTCCACAAATACAAAGGAAAATTCAATTTTCTGAGGAGATCGGGAAATTCTTTGAACTCGGCTTTTGTTGGCTTTGAAAAGTAAATATTCTCGTTTCTGACAGTATTGATGCCTTTTTTTCCAATGATTTCTCATTGTTGGTCAACTTTGAAGTTTGGGAAAGGATCGAAAAAAAAATTATTAAGATTCAAAAATTCATTCTCTTCGAAGTTTTGCGATAAGGGGAGCAGGCCGACATTTGTCAAAAAGTTGAATTTTATTAGATTTTTGTTCAACTTCAAAGTTCTTAATAAATTTCTAAAAAGCCTACAAAGGTTCACAACTTCTTTTTGAAAGGAATAAACAGAACTTATCGATATAGAAAGAAAGAACCTTTTGCAAGAGAAAAGAAAAATCAGGAGAGGATCTATAGTCAATTAACCTATCGGTGTCGCCAACTTTTGATCTCGGACTGATATAGAATCTGACAAGACGGGTGGCTGACAATCGAAGCGAAAAACAGTGAGAACGGCCCTTTTGTGGGACAAATTGATGCGAAGTGAATGTATGGGTCGGATATTGGACTGACTCGAGAGGGCGATCCGACGCCGATAACTGTATATCGCGTCGGAAAGTCTTCCCGTGGCATATAGATACACTGAAGGAGGATTGCAACATTGGAAGGAGGGGGAGAGAATGGACTGTTAGGAAGCAAGCAAGTAATTTTTGAAAATTTGTAAAGTGTGGAGTTGAGGAATTTTATTCTGAGGGGCAATCCTTGGAAGGTGTTCGGAAGGTACTGGAAACGTTCTGGGAAAGTAACCAGCAGGAGGTTGAGAGGTGGATGGAAGCTAGACGTTTTTGAGGTGTTCAGAAGGTGATTGGAAGGTCAAACATTGAAAATGCCTGCCAGAAGCCTTCCAGAATCCTGGTGAAAAGCTTCTGCCAGGCTTTTTTTTCTGAGTAAAAGCTGTTGGGAAGTCATGTCCAAGCCATTCGAACACTTGCTGGAAAGCTTCCAAACGCCTTCCGAAGAACCAAAACAAGAGCTTCCTAACTTTCACCTGAATAGAAGGTCTTGAGAGCGCCTTGGGAAGGTGTTCAGAAGATACAGTAGTTGAAAGGTCTTTATAAAGTAAACAATTGTGAATGCATGTCTGAAGCCATCGATCAGGATTCTGAAAGATAAGTAGAAAAGTGGAAAGCTATGTGGAAGGCGTTGGACCACTTATGGGAAAGCTTCCAAGCGTCTTCCGTGCTATGAACTTTCCCCATATTTATCTGAGTTAGAAGGTCACCAGCAAGTGGCACAGACAGCTCTCCAACACCGTTTACTTATCTACCAGAAGACTAATTTTGATTTTCCTTCTGAACTTCAATTTCCAGATGCCGCTTCAAGCTACCGTTGACGGAGAAGTTGGACGGAGACACGGAATGCCGACTTTTCACGCCCTATGACCGACGCCACGTTCCTGGAAAACTTTACCTTTCTCCTAACTTCATCTGCTTCGATAGTCGGGTAAAACGTTTTCCTTATCATTTTCCCGAATCTTGAAAATCTCTGACTTCTCTGCGCTCTCTCTACTCTCACCGGCTAGGTAATATGAATAGGGAAATAGTATGTGAATAGGAGAGTGTCGCAGAGAAATGAGACTGCTCAAAGTTAGGAAAATTTGAAACTTTAAACTTTTTTAATGCTCTTTAGTTTCCAAGGACTTTTTGATTATTTTAAAACATTGAGTTTTTTAGACTGAGCGACTCGTTTCTTTGGTTTTACCGATGGCTGAAATCATGTCGGCTGAAGAATGCACACCGGCCTCCAAATCGTCTTTGGTTCTTCAAGGGATCCTGCTTTGCCTGGCTAATGGGGTGAGTTTTAGAAAAATGATGCAATGTGTTCCGCAGCGCAACAGGTTGTGCGCCTGTTAAGGTCGAAAGGGTCACAAGTTCGATTCCCGCTGTGACTCAACCAACTCAGAAACGCCATAGTGGTCTCTTTGGGGGTTAGGAAGGAAACAGTCTCTACTTTACCTGCACGAGAAAAGACGTCTTTTTGAGGAAATTATGAAACGAGAAAGTACAAAATTTCTTCGTATGTCCCTGATAAGGTTCAAAAAATTTCTTTCTCATCTTTTCAATAAACTTTATTCATCCTTTTCAGAAAAGAAAAAAACCTTCTTTTTCAACATTTCAATTTTTGTGAAAAAGGGTTTTCATAAGGTTTTTTTATTCGAACTAGTCAGTAGTTTCTCAGAGGGCGTCAAATTTATTGAAACACCCTGATTTTTTTTTTTTTGAATGAAAAACTTGAAAACACCAAAATGCACTAATTAGAAGCAAGATATTGCATACATAGTGACCAGAAAAGGGGCGAGGTACCTTAATTTGATGTTAAAAAGTTTCCAAAAAATTAGCTTCAAGTTGAAAATTCGTTTTTAGAGTTTTTTTTTTCTTGCTCACAAGCCAGAATACGTTACTCATTCAAAATTTATTCAGCCTTTAGAGAAGATTCTCTGCTCAATATTGGAATGGTTGAATATTTATTTTTGATTCGCGGAGTTGTCGTTGATCAAGGACGTCGAGTAGAACATCTCGCCCTTGTAGTAGGAAAATTTTGAGCGTACCGACGAACAGCTGTTTCTAAATAAATATTCATAGGGTGTTTTTTCCAGTCGACGATCGTCTTCTCTTCGGTGCCTGACCGTGACCGAGTGATGGCCAAAATCACGACTTTTATCGAAAGAGGAAAAATTGAGAGGATCATGGCGAAAGGCGAGGAAAAGACGGCGATGAAGAGGTCGAGAAGTGTAAGGAATATCAAGAAAAATCGAAAAAAGGATTAAATTAAAGTCGTCGGCGTCGGTTTGCTCGACGTCGTCCGTCGAGATTCTGGATTATCCTTTCGTCGAAAGATATCCATTCGGAGTGGATGTTGGCGCCAAGTGCAAGGCCAAGTGGGATCGTTACTTGCAGGTAATCTTCGGGGAATCAAAATCACTTACTAGTTAGGTAAAACGGAAAGTTCCTTTGAGGACTCACAGAACGAGCTAAAAAGGTTTCATTGAAAGCTCCTACAGTTATGGGAAACACTGGTGAATCGAGTGGTAGATAAAAGTAGGTACCGGGTAGCAACTCAAGTGAATCGGCGAATCGTAATCGGTGGTCATTTTTATGCGACCGGGTACTATCTCTATGGTACCTGGATAGTACCTGATCGGTATCTGGATGCTACCGGGTATGTACCTGAAATTCGCGATTGCCACTAGTTGGCACATCGATCGTTTATATAGCATCAGTGTTTTTTTACACCTTCCCAAGCCTTCCAGGGTCCTATTGGATAAAGCTGAAGCAGAAAATAACGACCCGGGAACCAATTCCAGACTTTCCGAGAGAAATCGCGAATTTCAGGTAGCTACCCGGTAGCTACTTGCATCGACGTCCCACCCAGGTACCATAAAGATGGTACCCGGTCGCATATAAACGACCACCGATTACCACACGCCGATTGAATTTTTCAAAAGTTGCTACCTGGTAGCTATTTGTATCGACTTTCCGATTCATCTTTGAAAAGCTTTCAAGGCCCTTCTTCATAGCTTCAGGAGATCTTTTTATAAGCTTTCCAGAATCTTTTCATTAAAGGAAGTGAAAATATGCAAAATGAAGATAAAAAAGATCTTTTGGGGATCTTAAAAGATCTGTTAGCTATGTTGAGAAACGGTTTAAAAAAATAATTAACTTTCGAAAAAAATGATACCTTTTTTTAACCATTGATAATTTATAGGGGTTTTTCAGCAATTTCACTGTTTTAAATAGGAATTTTCGTTGCTGGTTGCACTATTCCGAAGATCTATTTTTGTTCTCCTATCGTTTTTTTTTTATATGGAGAGATCATTCAAATTTTCATGACCTTTGGAATATTTCAAGTTCTTTTTTTAAAAGACCTAAAATGTTTTTTTTAGGAATATGGCTCGGGAAATTGCATGTACAGGACAGTCGAACTCCATCGTTTGCTTCTACGAGGCGTTCCACTTCAGTTGAGGGGCGAGGTATACGAAAAACCATTGTCCGTACCTACTTATCAAGTAAATGTTCCTAGATCTGGATGATTTGTTCTGGAGCTGGAGCGGAAATGTCATTGAATCCCGGTTATTACCAGCAACTTCTGCAGAAGAACCAAGGCGTTTATTCGGTCGCTCTGGAAGAAATCGAACGGGATTTACATCGGTTTCCATATGAAATTTATTGAAAATGAACTTTTTCGTGGATTTAGAAGCCTTCCGGAGCATCCGGCCTTTCAACAAGGTCCCGGAATCGACGCGTTGAGGAGGATTTTGACGGCTTACGCTTTCAGGAATCCGAATATTGGTGAGAAATTGGGATTACTGAGAAAAAATAGTTTTGTTTTGAAATTTAAAAAATGTGAAAAGATGGTTTTCATCAGTTAGGCTGATGGAAGAAAGAAAAAAGGCGAGATTGCAGGATTAAAAAAAAAAGAAGGATTATGATCGATTTTATGAGTTATGGTTTTCAGAAACTTATACTTTAAAAATAACTGGAGCTTTCGATACCTCTTTAAGTGGTCCATAGAGAAGTTTTAGTGGTCACTTCAGTAGTTTTGATACTTTTCAAGTGACCTCTTGGACAGATGTTTTAATTGAAACGCGAAAAATTAACTAGAATATCCGGAATGAATTACAGTTCCACATAAGGTTGCCACTATAGGGACCACTCTGGCATTCCTGAGGTTTGAAGAATTGAAGTCGAGTCGGAATTTCAAGAAGAGGAACGTCAAAAGTGTTACGAAGATTTTTTGATCAGAACTTACTTGTATGGAGTTCGATCTTTCTAGAAACTCCAGGATTGGTCATGACTGTTATTTGTAACACTCTGGTGGAATTTCAGCACGCAGAAAAAAAAAACCCAGTTCCACGGAGTTTCCGAGAGAGCTCTATACGAGAAAGTTGGGAGCAAAAAAATTTTTTCATATATTTTTTTGACGGTACTTCAGCTTTGTTTTCACACAGAATGCTTCCAAATAATCACAAGCTTGAAAGATTTTGAAATTATTGGCCAAACTTGATAATTTCAGTTTAAACTTACAGGCTACTGCCAAGCGATGAACATTGTCGGATCGGTATTATTGCTGTTCGCCAAGGAAGAACAGGCGTTTTGGCTACTCGTCGCCATTTGTGAACGACTTCTGCCCGATTATTACAATACCAAAGTCGTTGGAGCTCTTGTGGATCAAGGTTTTTAATAAGAGATTTGAATTTTGAACGATCATCATACATTTTAAAATTTTACCTGTTATCAACGGTCACTGATAATATATGCTTAAAAAAGGTTCCTACTTTTTAAAATCATCTAGAAAAACTAATTTTCATAAATAAAAAAAGTCGAGTTTTTTTCGATTTTGGGGACTTGTGGCGGGGTGTGTGCTATGACGTCACTTTTAACATGTGGCCTGGCCCACGTATGACGATCACGGGAAACTGTAGTGTTTAGGACATAATCAAAGATTTTTCTTGGAGTTTCTCTAAAAATTCGCATTTTTGAGGCGTTTTCTCCGAACTGGCAGAACGACTTCTTCCTTCGGTCGGAGCCAAACTCACTGAACTCGGTCTGAACGACATGGTGGTGCTCTCTTGGTTCCTGACCGTCTTCCTCAGCGCCATCAAGTTCGACGCCGCTGTTCGGATCCTCGACCTCTTCTTCTTTGAAGGGGCTAAGGTTTTTCAAATTCGAAGACGAGCTCTTCGAAAAAAGGAAATACGAGGGTTTTAGAAGGCTTCAGGAGACCCAGGATGGTTTCTGAAGCTTAAAAATAGTCTTAAAGTTACAAAAAGACTGGGGGACCTTGTAGAATACAGTAGTAGACTTTCAAAAAAAGACTTGAAAAAGGACATTGAAAACATTAAGGACATTGAAAAAGTACTTGGAGACGTCAAAAATGTCTTGAAATCAAAAAAGTGTCAAAAGAGTCTCAAAATGAGATTGGAAAACCTAAGGTATACTTCAAGACATACAAAAAACTACTTTTAAGAGTTCCACTTCATTGCACATTTTCCAAAGGTCCTCTTAAGTTTTTTAAGCTCCTCCTTATTCCTTCAAGCTTTTCCTGCTCTCATCCCTATAATCTCGAAACTTTAGCTGATGTTCCAAGTGGCGCTGGAGATGCTCAAGGAGAACGAGGAGGTGATCTGCAAGTCGAAAGACGACGGCGAAACCTTGATGGCCTTGTCCCACTACACGGAGAGCATCTACGAGGGCGAACGGTCAGATCCGACGACGCCTACGGATCCTTCGACCCCAGTCCTGGAGTCACCCCTCACTCTGAGCACTTTCCTTAACGACGTCGAGGAGGCCTTGATGCTCACCGAGGAGAGGTCTGTCACCACGACGACGTCTCCGGATAATGCCAAGGTGGGAGAAAATGGAGAAAAAAAAAGATGGTTTTTGTAGATTCCGATAGGCGAACTTTTGAAGAACTCCTATCAGAACTTTGGCTACGCCTTTACGAATGAGACTATCGATTCGCTCCGACTCAAGCATCGTCTGAAAGTCGTTCAGGTAAAGTAGTGAGAAAGATTGAGGCGCTAAAAAACGGAATTCTCTGAAGGTCTGATACATCATCATTGAAAATTTAAATAATCGGTCTTCCTCATACATCGGCTGGATCCCATCCCAGCCTTTTGCGCGCGAAAAACAAATCGCAAGTTGAACGAAAAGTTGCTTGAGGACCCTCAAAAGGAGCTGGAAAGGCTCCGCTGAAAGCTCCTGAAATAATGGAAAAAAAGCTTTTTTTTTAAAGGTACACTGGATCAAAAAAAAAGATGAGGGTGGGCGAGCAGCTTGAATGAGTTTCCGTACCCTTTTTATCTTTGGAAAAAAATATATAATTTTTTTCTCTTTTTTCAGAACCTCGAAGACAGCCAAATGAGGAGTATCATCAAAAGTGTCGGAAAGGACTGCAAATTTTTCGGACGAGGAGCTGGAAGAGCTCTACAATGTTGTGAAGGTAATCGAAAAATTTATTACTGAAGGAAAAAAATGCAATTATTAAGTTTTGAAACATCCCTGTAGCTCATACGGGCCTGTATCATTGTCGGTGATACTTAAAGCGGAAAAATTGGGGGTGTAGAGGTTCATGTGTTTTTAGCAACAGATTGATGTCAGAAAAGAAAAACTGGAGGCTTTTTGGTTGAATATTTCGTAAGAATGATGATTTTGAATGTTATACTCGTGACGAGACTCCGCAAATGACGCTGGTCAGCGGAAAACCGTGCATCGTCCAATGGGTTCCGTTGCACTTGTAGGTGAAAGTTCGCTCGTCGGTGACCGACGGAGCGTGGACGTCGCAGAGCTCCGAGTCGTGCCATCTGTAAGGAGGATTACGGCAGATATAATGGGGTACTGTAGGTTTCGGTGGATTGATAGAGCTCAATTATTTAAGAAGTGGTCAGTAAGATTTTGCAAATTCATCTTGGCTTATAGTTAGAAAATGAAAATTAAGCTTGACTCCCGATGGTCGCACTGGGAATGGCTCAACAAACAGTCTATTTTTCTATATTTATTTTTTTTTGATAAGCAATGTGAGAGTCTTAATGCTTTGCGCTTTCTCTGAAATTATGTGTCTTTTTCTGATTTTATGGTTTTACGAGAGAGAAGAGAGCGCAGACGAGTCGGAAAAGCTCCAGAGCAGTTTTTTATCTTATAGGATTCATAAGAAGGGCAAGCACTAGAAAAGTCTTTTTCAAAACTATCCATAGAAATTAATCTTCTTAATAAATTGGAATTGATGAGACAAAAGGGCCATCTTTGAAATTTTGATATGAACCGCAGTGCGACCGCACCGCATTGAGTCATTCTAGATGCGACCAGAAGACTGCAGGTCGTTGAAAAAGAAATAAACTGGTCTTTAATGTCGATATTTCTTTTTTTGGAATTTGTTGGCAGATGTAAAAAGGACATTTTAGGGCGGTGAGAGTTCATCTATTTTTAACCTTCGGCGGCTATGACGTTTTTCCGTCTTTAGGGAGTAGAACTTGATCAGAATAGTAGCGGTTTTTTAGAAGTTAGGTGGAAAAAAGTTGAAAAGAGAGCTTGTGATAAAGGTCATGATAAATTTGCTAAAATAGAAAGGTCAACTTTTATTTTTCATTTTCAAGCTTCTGCAATGAGATTCATTAAGAAGATTATTTCACGTGCGGTTGAGATTTCTGAAAGGTGACCAAAAAATGAAAAGGTCTCGAGCTGAGAAATATCTTGCAGTTTCAAAAAAACCATCAAAAGCTATGAATACGAAACTTGAGCCTTTCTCATTTGAAAAATAGGAATTTGTAAGGTCAAGGCTTTCAAGAGTTACAGAGTGTAATGACCAATTTTGGGGAATAAAAAATAAATAAGAAAAGAAAAACTGACTTGACGAGCATGTGAGGCTGTGGACAAGTGATGGTCCTCGTGCACTGTTTGATGCTGGAGGAGTCGTCGATTTTCTGGGCGCTTCTGCCGTCGATCGACATTTCAAAGAACGTCGAGACGGATTCGTAGTTGGAGCATTGGGATTTCATGTCTAAGGTGGCGTTCATCCAAAGCGGCGGACAGGAGGAGCAGATGTCTGAAATATTTTGCTTAAATATACTATCAGATAAAGGCAAAACGTTCAACGTGGTAGGAGTGAAACTATGGGTCAAAGGAGAGAGCATGAAAGCTGGAGAAGCATTTGAGAAATAGAGATCTGCGCCTCTATTGCTTCATCGCCCTCTCGCTCGCTCGCTTATTTTTTTTTTAAAGAATCTAACTGACCAGTCTGCTCCACACGAAGGGCCTCAAACAAGGCGGCGTCATCCTTCTCATCCTGAATCGTTTTCTGAGAAGTCGTCGATGTCGCCGTTGAAGACGTCGCCTGTGCTTCTGGCACGGCAGGAGTCAGAACAAAGGATTTCCCGGCGGCGAAAGTCCTCACTCGTTCTTCTTGCTTTGAAATGTCCTGAGGTCGTTCTACGATAGGCGGTAGGGAATTCTGACGAGACCAGCCGTTGAAAGTCGACGCCTTGCTGCTTCGGAAGAGCTTCAAGTGTTGGAGGTAGGCTGGGTCGGCGCTCGGAATGGGGTTCTGATTTGGGGTCTGATTTTGGATGGTTAGGAGGTTGGAAGTGACGGTGTCTGGAGTGGTTGGAGGAGCTCGGGCAAGTTGGTTGGAGGAGGGAGGTTGTTTTTCTTGCGACTGAAGGGAGCTTTGTTGTGCTTCAGAGCTCTGCGACTGAAGAGTTGCTTTTTGCTCCGACTGAAGTGAGCCTGACTGCGGTTGAAGAGCTGCTCCTTGCTGCGACTGGACCGAACTTGACTGTGCCTGTAGAGCTCCTTGCTGCGACTGAAGCGAGTCTGACTGCGGTTGAAGAGCTGCTCCTTGCTGAGCCTGAAAACTATCTCCTTGCTGTGACTGAAGAGCTGATCCTTGCTGCGACTGAAGAGTGGCCACTTTCAGCGACTGGACGGAGCTTGACTGCGACTGTACAGCTCCCTGCTGCGACTGAAGACTACCTCCTTGCTGCGATTGAACGGCGGTAGACACAACGGCGCCACTGGCTGGAGTCATCTGCATGCACGCCGTCACCAGCGAAACCTTGAGTAGAACGCTCAAGGCGCACATTTCGACGATTTGAATCACTTTCATCCCCCCTTTTTCTCCTCTTTTCCGCCCGTTTTTTTTTTTGTCGTCGTCGCCTTCTTCTTTTCGATTCGTGTCGCCTGCGTGGTTGGGGTCAAGCGCCCACTTTTGGTCGAATCGAGGCTACCTAAACATTTGAAATGCAATGAAAAGAAATTGTTATAAAACTAAGCGGAAAAGATTGAAAATAATGGAGATTCCACGGCTTGCGGATGGGTCACCACACCGATTCTCGAAAAACATGTTTCAAAGCGGGCCTTGCGTTGAACTTTCAACCTGTCCTCGTCACTATCTTCTTCGCCTCCTTTTTCTCTTATCTGATAAGGCTTTCCCGAGTATTTTTGGAAATTCGAGACTTTTTTCGTTTTGAGAAGTTTTCAGGTTCTTTATAACGAGGGGAACCTAATTTTTCATTTTTTGAAGAAAAAAAAGCCGACAATCCTGTTCACTTGTTGATGGATAACATTGATAAGGATATGATTTTTGATTTGAAATTATCGCGAAGTTTTGAAAAATAGTCTGCAAAATTTGAAATTTTTCCTTTTTGACATTTAGTATAGGAAGTCCGATAAGAATTTTAAACATTTCAAAATAGCGAAATCAGCCTTTTTTTATCAATTTTTGAATGAATTTTCATTAAAAATTCATTTTCGTCTTCGTTTTTTTTTCAGAATCAATTTTTTAAGTTAAGAGTTGAAAACAACTTTCGATCTACAATTTTCAGACACAAGAGGCTTTTATTGATACCTTATCTACCTGATGGAGATCAAATTTTCAACTGAATTTCAAAATTTTTTGATAAATTTACGGAAAATTGCGACTTTTTAAAAAATGTCGTCTTATAGGTAAAATATTTTCGAAATCATCTCAATATCACAATGGAATGCGAGATGTCCTTTACCAGAACATTTTCTCTTCTGTTTCTTTGGAAGGCCACCATTTTATCAAATCTCTCTGTGCGGTCGCACGTCTCTCCGTCTGTCTGGGGAAGAGAAAGCTGACCCGAATTCGTTGTTTCTTTTCCCACCTACTTTGGTTGAGAACGGGGAAGTAAGGAGAAAAGAAAACTTGGGCAAACATTGGGGTTTTTATTTATTTTTTGAAAGGGAGTTTGGAGAAGCGAGGTCGAAAAAATGATCTTTTGAGAGTGTTTTTCGTGATTTTCATAAAATTATAGAAGGGATCATGAGAATTTTCAGACGGCTATAAGATTTTTAGATTGGGTAGACTTTAAAAAAAGCGTTCAAATTAGGAGATTTGGGTTTGTGAGCCCTTGTACAAGCTTTTAAGCTTCCTGAGCTCCTGGAGTCATTTCTTGCCTTTTTCCCATAAATTTAAATAAAAAAACTATCAAATAAAGTTGGAGTGGTCCAAGATCGAGTTCTCATCCCAGAACTTTGTTCGAAAATTCCGGATTTTTGACCTATACAGTTCCATAAACCTTCGAACTTTTAAAAGCTTCAAAATAATTCAAAGATGCAAATTTTTAGGAAGAACATCTGCTATCATGGCGACACCGACTAGGAGTGAATGCTCGCGGAAAATTGGCCACTTTAACTGAAAGACCAAGACCGGATCCGTGTGCCCAGTCCCAGTACAGGTATAGCTATGGCATTTTATGAAATTTTTGTCTGTTTTCCAGACTTGACTATGACCTTTTCGCTCAAGTATTCCCAAGACTACTGCCTTGGCCTGTGAGCGACATCTTTGTGATACGAGTTTTCCGGGTAAGGGTTTGGATTTTCTAGGTTAAAGTCTGAATAAGAGTGCTTTAAAATGAATGCAAGCAAAATTTCTTTAGGTCCGTTAAAAATGATTTTTTTTTAAATTAAAGACTTGAATTCACTTTTTCCTTACCAAGGGCTCATATCAGCCCAAATTCGGACTTCTTATTGAGATAAGGCTCATCAAAATTAGGTTTTAAACTCTGATTACGCGTCTGACTAGAGATCAAAAGTTGCCGGAGAATCAAAAAAATCCAAGGTTAAACATTATTTTCTGAGTTTTTTTTGGATCTGAGATGAAGCTAGCTCTAGTGAAAATTAGAAAGTTTTGTCTTTCTTTTTGCGAGGAAAGCAGGATTTTTTTGATTTCTGTAGGCTCCAGACGTTCTTTGAAGCCTGCGGTTCAATCTTTGGGGTTCTAGTTTTAGAAAGTTAGAGAGCGTATGAAAAGGAGAGAGAATGTTTTTCTTGTTTCTCTGAAAGCCCTCTTGTTTACCAGTGCTCTCTAGCTTTTCGAAGATTCAAACCTCGAAGGTTGGACTCATTCTTCAGTCATTTTGTGACCTTATAATTTTTTTCAAAGGCTTTTTTTTGCAGTTTTTGAGCTCAAACTAAGAATCACTGATAAATATTACGAACAGGAAAAGTCTCATTTTGAAGTTCCACTGTCAACTGAGACTAGATGCTGGCCAATTCCTAAGAATCAGAAGGTTCTTTTTAGCTCCTGGACATTTCGGAGAGCGGCCTTTTGACGTTCCGTGACCTGGCAATGACTCTCTCGATTCTACTTAGAGGCGAGGCGACGGACAAGCTCGCCTTGTTCTACAAATGCCATCTGCCGCCGGCTTTCAACATGTCGGACCTCGATGAGATCGCGCCGCTGGACGATGATCGGAATAGAGATGGTGAGAGTAGAAACAGGCTGAAAATATGGTCTCCTAAGGTGTCAAAATTCGTTTTAGCAGTTTTTAATTCATGAAGTTTGACCACATTAGCTTTTTCATCGTCTGAATTTTAGCCGACGAGCCCGAAGAAGCTCTCGAAGCCGCCGAGGCGCTCGGAACACCAAAGAAGAAGACGGCGCCGTTGCCTGAAAGATTCATTCCGATTCCGCCTCGAGAACACTTGGCAAGCGTTGCCAAGCCGAAAAGCGTTGGATCACCTCCGCAAGGAGGAACTAGTCGGGTTGGTTTAAATGACTTGTATCAGAAGTTTTTTTATTTTTTCTTAAAAGTTCTTTGGTACTAGAATTAAACCTGGAGTGTTAGTTTTTGTTTTCCCGCCTTCAAAAAATCTACAGTTTTAAAGTTATTTTTGCTTTGAATTTATGCGAAACTCGAAAAGAAAAAGTTCAAAAAGAGAGAACGTTTTTCCTGTAGACTCGCCACGACACTCCTTCAAGCGCCGTCATGATCGAATCGGACGCCGAGTCGTTGATCGACCTCATCGCCGCCAGATCCATCGGAAGCTGTCCCTCCGAACATAGCCATGAGAGGATCCACCTCGGCGATGAAGCTAGTGAAGGTATGCCCAACTATGGAAAAAAAATCTTGATATTTCTTTTGAAATCGTTGTTCTTGCTGGAAAGTCATTCCTCAGGTGATATTGGGAACGTTTTGCTTTCGGTTCCCCGGAAGGCGTTTGGAAGGTTTCCAACATGTTGTCAAACGCCTTCTACACATCACCCAGAAGCCTGCTGGAAGGCTTCTGGCAGGCTTTTATGATTTTTCACCTTCCAAAGACCTTCGAACTACCTTCTGAACACTTTCCCAAAGCCTTTTCAAAACCTTCCAGCTTCCATTCAGGTAAAAGTTGGGAAGCTTCTGCTTTCGGTTTCTCGGAAGGCGTTGGGAAGGTTTCCAGCATGTTGTCAAACACCTTCCAAGCGCCTTCTACTTTCCAGAAGCCTGCTGTAGGGCTTCTGACTTCAAACCAGCTCCTGAACACCTTCCCAAGGCCTTCTCAAGGCTTTCTAGCTACAATTCTTTTTCCAAAAACCTTCCAAAAACCTTCTCTGATTCATTAATTCTCATTGGTCCAAAAATTGAGAAAATCTCAGTGGAAAAAGAAAACTTTAGACTCGTTTTCCTTGGTCGATGAGTCGATCGAAAAAATGAAGCATCTCCGGGCGACGACCTTAGCCGCTCCAGAAGCCATGACAACAAGAATGGAAATCAAGATGCTCCCCATCATGAGCCAGGTACATAAAGAGATGCGAAAATCATTAACTTTTGAGATTTAGGTCCAATTCATCCAGTTCTGGAAGACTTTCTACGACCTACTGAGTGGGAAAGAAACCGACCAGAAGGTTTTTCATTCCCTGGCTGTTGTTGGTTAGTACTAACTAAAAAAAATTACTCAAAATTCTTGGTTTTTTTTAGCTACTCTCCTGCTGCAACTTGGTGAAACTCACAAGGAGCTGCAGGCCAAGCTCGAGGCGGAGATTGCTGACGCCATGAAGGAGGTTGAGATCGAGGAGAAGGAGAAGGAGAAGGAGGACGAGGAGGAGGAGTTTGAGGAAGATCAGGAGATTGATCCGGCCGAGGTCCAGCGACGAAGGATTGGAGATATGAAGTCTTGGTGGGCAGGAAAAATGCCTTGAAAAGGGCTGCTGAAAGAAAAGAGAGGAAAATCATCAAAAAAATAGCATTGGTTGTAAAAAAAAAATGTCTAAAAGAAGTGGCGAGAGCTACTCTTTGAGGGGGAGTTATTTTTAATCGAACTGCAATCACAGGTTCCCGTTAAACTTTTCCGTTTTTCCAAGGGGTCCCAAAAAAGGGAGGGGGGTCTTCTTTTCATCGGGCACAGTGTATCAGGTTGACGAGATATGAATCAGCGTTTTTGTTGGTGATTTATTTCACTATGAATTTTTATAGCGATCGATTGATTCGAAAATTGATTTTTATCGGTACCTGTTAATTTCTACCGATGCCCTCACGGAGAATGAATGTCCTTCTCAAATTCTTGCCTTTTAATGCCATTAAAATAGACAAATCGAAAATGTCCTGCAGGCCATCCTAATGATATTTTCAACTTTTTTCTTCGAAATGATTGTGATGGGAAAATTAAATTCAAAAAAAAGGGAGTTTTCTGTTCCTTTCGCTTAGTTCTCATTCATTTTTTGGACGGAAAAATAGAAAAGTCTCGAAAGAAACCATTCAAAATATCTTCTGTAAATGTCAGTTTCTAAAGTTTTTGAATGAACTTTTCAAAACTTCAGTGTTGCCGACGGAGAATGGCGCGTGAACCTAGAACAGATCTTAGCCTCTGTTTTGTCAGAACAGCCGTTGGCCGACTTTTTCGAGACGAAATATTCGCTGGACGCCCTTATCAAGAGGTTTGTTGAGGGCTCGAAGTTGAGAAAAAAGCCTTTTTCTGATTGAAAATATTGGACAGAATGAAAAAAGGTAGTTTTGAGTCTGTTCAGATTTTGAATGTTAGAAAACCGCTTAAGCTCCGCCCCTACGGGCGCGATAAACCAATCAGAGTTTTGAATGACGTCATTTTACTTGACATTTAAAACCTAAACACACTATAGTTATCTGGAGACGGCTGAGAAAAAAAATTCCACGTTTTCCTTGTTGGCAAAATTATGTCGCATTTGGAATGGCTCAACGCGTCGCGGTCGTGCTGCGGTTTGAGTTGAAGCCATTTTATTAACCGCCTAGGAGCTTCACGCGTTGAGCCATTCTCAGTGCGACCAGAATTTTACAAATCGATTTATTTCACTACTTTCAGATACTATAAAACTCGATTCTCGACGAGTTTGAAGGACGATTTTTTGGCCCTATAAATACACATTCCCTCTTACGTTATTTCACTTCAAATTTGGTATTTACTGCATAATCAACTATTTAGAAAATGGAGAGAAAATTATAAAAAAATTTGAGTTTTGTATATTTTTCATAAGTTAGAGCATTTCTGACCGCCAGGCGGCATATTTCCCTATGATTGTCCAGATTGGAGAAAAAAGATTGTACATTGTTATTTTTGTATATATATATGTCGATTAATTTGTCATTACTTCGTGATGTATGAACGGGAGTTAGTCGAGCGCCTAATAAAAACGTTTTTTAAAAGCTTTTTTTCCGGAAAAAGAAGGAAAGGAGAATGAGGATGAGACGATGGCCGATTCAGGGCCGAAGATGAATTAATGATTTGGCGCCACATTGAAATCGGACGGCTCTCTTCTCGCCCAACGGATGAATTGCACACAATTTTTGACGCCGGGGTCTAGAGTTTTTTGGTCCTTTCGTTTTTTTATGAAGTTCTCTTCTCTTTGGTGACTCAGGAAATGGTCGGACTTATGTCTTTTGAAACTGTTTTTGATGATTTTGGACCTTCATAAATTTATTCTCTCCGGATTTTGGAAAAAAAAAAATTTTGAGATTGAGACTTGGAAAGTTGAATCCTGCCAGCTTTGTTTTCCTGAGTTCATCGCCCCATCATTTTAGCTTCAAAAATGGGCCTCCTGTGTTTTTTGAATCTAGCCGCGGCTCGAAATTTGTTTCTTGAGCGATTCAGAAGTCATTCCCCTTTCATTAAAAAATTATTTTTCCATCTCTTTCGCCCTAAAAATGGACTTACTTGCCTTTTTGAATTAAGCCGCGGCTCGAAATTCATTTTTTGAGCAGATCGGTAGTCGTTCCCCTTTTTCATCCTTGCACATCTTACGGCCAAAAATGAAGTTTTTTTTGTCCCTAGAACAGACTCATTGGAGTTTTGAAAACTTGGCAGCGGCTCAAATTTTGATTTTTGCGGCAAAGACTTGGCCACCCAAAAAATCGATATCCATTCAGGAAATCAAATATATTTTTTGGTCTGACTTTTGATCATTCTAACAATTAGATCAAGAGCCAAAATCAGCGCGCGAAAAAAATGGACGAGATCTCAGCGCAAAATTATTATTTTTTTTTTTCTGCTTTTTTCTTTATTTTTCTCATACGTGATTCATTAGTTTCTTTTTTTTCAAGTTTGGAAGCTATTCTAAAAATCGGCTTTTATGAAAACCTTTTACCAGAAAACAGTCGTAACGTTGTACGAAAGCTCATTTCTTCATTTTTAAAAGTTCCAAAGTTGCTTTTATCTTCATTCGATAACTGAAACTTAGCCACGGCTCAAAATAGCGCTCTAAAGAAATGAAAAAACAGAATTTTGAGATTTTTGCTGATAACTCAGCCGCCTTTTGAGCTTCTTTTTTTTTGATCTATCAAAAGTCAGCCGCGGCTCAAATTTTTTCTTTTGAAGAAAGATCTCCGTCAAAGTTTTTCTACACGCTCGTGGTCTTTGAAGATATTTTCTTGATATTTCTAGATAAAAGACTTATTTTTGTTCTTCAGATTGATTGAGATTGTTTTTCAACCTTTAAAATGTTTTCATTGAACTTTCTTACCACTTGCTTCAATTTTAGGCTTCACATTGGTTTTGAAAAAAAGTTCTCTGCTTTTTTGATTTATTTTTATAATTTTTAACTGCTCCATTAGCTTTATCAGCATGTTAAAATTTTAAAAATCGATTATCGCCTTCTTTATTTATTGCTATGCTCCTTTAAACCCGAAGAAGATTTTTGAAGAACCAAAATTCATCATTGAAGATGGATTATCGCTCCAAGACCTCAACGAATTTTTTTAGGATCCTTTAGAAACTCCAGCAAGATTTCATGATTTATGTCCAGAGGGAGAGACTAATCTGAAGGCTAGGTAACAAAACAGACACTTATCCATACTTGAAAAAAAAAGAAGCGGAACTTCTCTCGGCGGAACAATGCGTGTTGTGCGCAGAGCCGACGAGTTCCGGGCCAAAAAGCGGCCATAATCGCCCGAAAAAGGGAAAAAAACGTGGCGATGCGCATGTGTTGCCAAGTAATGAGCTTATCCAATTTGGCACGCAACCCGCCCCTCTCCAAGGCCCTTCTGCTTTTTTTTTTTTGAAAATTTTTGGTTATTTGGAACGAATATTGACTCCAATTTAGATTCAAAAGTAGTTTTTTTGGACTTTTTTGACAGTTTGTATTGAAATGACTAAAATTAGTGTCTTTTTTTGAATTTTTTAGACATTTCTTATGCAGTTAGGGCTAAAAAATAGGGCCTTTTATTAAAGTTTTGTGGTTCTTTGGCCGGTTGAATGGATCTTGACTCCAATTTACACTCAAAAGTAGCTTTTTGGATATATTTTGAAAATTCTTATGTTGAAAGGCTTAAAAAGGGTGTTTTTCAAAAAAATTTTGACCTTGAGTTCAAACCAAATTCACATGTGGCGTTTTTGGACTTTTCAGACAATTCTTATGATGAAAAGGCTAAAAATTAAGGGCTTTTCTTGAATTTTGTGGTTCTTTGGCCAGTTGGATGAATCTTGACTCCAATTTACATTGAAATTTAGCGTTTTTGGACGTTTAATACAGCTCTTGCGCAGAAAGGACTATAAAATAGGGTCTTTTATGAAAATTTCTTGTTCTTTGGTCGATCGGATGAACCTTGATTCAAATTTACTCTGACATCCAGCTTTTTTGGACTTTGGCGACATTTCTTATGATGAAAAGGCTAAAAATTAAGGGCTTTTCTTATAGCTTTGTGGTTCTTTGGCCGGTTGGATGGATCTTGACTCCAATTTACACTCAAAAGTAGCTTTTTTTGGACTTTTTCGACAGTTCTTATGATGAAAGGGCTGTAAATAGTGTCTTTTTTTGTTAAAATTTTTTTGATTCTTTGGCCAGTTGGATGGATCTTGATTTCCTGTAACGGTTTTTAGAGTTCTAAATGATTTTAGTGTTAAAAAAACCCTCAAAAAAATTTACCCTTTTTCTGCTTTTTTTATTTTGGTTTCCCGGCAGGGTGGATCTTGACTCAATTTACAGTAAAAATAGGGTTTTTTTAGACTTTTTCAATATTTTTTTATGAAATCTAGAAAACCATGCCTTTTTGGAAGTTTTTTTGTGTGTGGGGGCGGGGGATGAGGGTTAAAAAAATGGTTTTTTTATTACAGAAATCAAGCCTCACTTTTCCTGGTTATTGGACACGTTTCTCTTCATTTCTTTATACTAAATATGTCAAAACCTGCAATTTTCTGCTTCTCTGCAATCCAAGCGACGCTCTCGTTTTCACGTGATATTTTAACTTTCGTATGACCTCGCCGATGAGAGAAAAGAGAGTGCAGACGAGTCAGACTGTTGTATGTCGAATAGAATGGGTTACGTGACTTACTTTTTTGTTATCGACTTTTGAAAATTACTGGGAAACCCTCTAGTGCTCACTTATGAGGCTTCAAAACTTCTTGGGAAGCACTAAAGTGGTCACTAAAACCACCTCTATAGAAGCCAATATTTTGCGTTTCACTGTAGCAGCTTTTTGTGATGTAGTAGTATCACTTGGATTTCGAAAGAAGTCATTAGATTTCAACCACTTAAGTGGTCACTAATTCGACTGCCATAAATTATAGCCTAAAATATCTATATTTTAAAAAAAAGATGAAATTTTCGGATATTCTATAGACTATAGAGATCCCTTTTTTAGAAAACTGTTTATGAATAAACTATATTTGAATCTTCATCCCTAAACTGGAGAAAAGAGAGTCCAGACAACTAGGAAAATCTTTTTTCTCCTGGAGCGCACTTTCCGGGGGTTGAATTTCCACTACACACTCGTAACCCAATTCCAAACAAGGTTTACTCGCGGATTTTTTTTTGAATGGGACAATCATCCTCATCCAACACGATTTCCGATCTTCTGAATCCCGACGTCATGTGATTCCCGAAGGACGTCATCGAATCGGGACAGAATCCCATAATTCCATAAACTCGGATCATTTTTGGAATTGGCCCGATTTTTGGTTGTTTATTTCTGAATGTGGCGGTTGATGCTCCTCGGCAACTTTTCGGGGTTTTGAGCTTCTTTTTCTTTTTTTCTCAAATTGGACTTTTATGGGACTAGAGTCTAGTTTGGACGCCAGAAAAAATTTGAAATTCTTGAGGAATATAATTCTTGTAGTGTACTTCATTCGCCACAGATTGAAAAAGTCTGGTTTCTCTGCGTTCTCTTGCCTTTTCCCTTTCTTTTGCAACTAATTTTTTCCGCGTTTAAGAAAGTCGATTTAAAAAAAAGGACTTCTGAGCGGTATTTTTCAGCTACTTTTTGAGATTTTCTCTTTTTTTTTCAACTTTTTCGATTGCAGTTTCCTGGGATGAAACTATAGTCTTTTTTCGACATCCTGCGAAATTTTTTTCCAGTTTTTAAAACTTTGAAGTTCTTGTGGAATCGAATTTTTGTAGCGTACTTCATCCACCACAGTTTGGGGAAATCTCGTTTCTCTGCGCCCTCTCCTTTCTCGTCTCTTTTGGATCTACGTTTATGAAATTTTGATGCGTTTAACAAATCAAAATTGAAAAATGAGACTTCAAATGAATTTTTTCAGCTGAAAATTGAACTTTTCGAGTTTTTCCTTCTTTAATTTCATTTCTATTCAATTTTTTTTCAATAAAAGCCAAAGAAAACTTCATTTTTTTTCAAAAGGTATCTTTTCTCGATTCTTCAGCTTTTTCTAAGAGTTCATTTTTTGCCAATATACTGCAATCCATTCAATTTTATGCGTCGAAAACATCCGCCAGTTGCAAAACTGAAGCTTTTTCCTCCCACTGAGAGACGCATTGCTCATGTTAGAGTAGTAGCGCTTTTTTTGTTTGGTTTTCGAGTAGGAGCCCAAAATTTGGAAATATAAACATTTAAAGGCTTAAATTTTGAGCTTCATGCCCTTTTTCTGCTTATTTCATGTTTTTATACTTGGAGTTGCCGTTTGGAGAAA